CTGTCATCCATTCACACAGTCATCCATTCACACTGTCATCCATTCACACTTCATCCATTCACACTTCATCCATTCACACTTCATCCATTCACACTGTCATCCATTCACACTGTCATCCATTCACACAGTCATCCATTCATACTGTCATCCATTCACACAGTCATCCATTCACACTGTCATCCATTCACACAGTCATCCATTCACACTTCATCCATTCACACAGTCATCCATTCACACAGTCATCCATTCACACAGTCATGAACACACTTCTTCAGTGAAGGAAATAATAATAATAAGAATAACATTCTCACACTGTAAGCTACACCATAGCCACAACTGCCCTGGGGCACACTGACAGAGGCGGGGCTGACAGAGGTGGGGCTGACAGAGGAAGGGCACACTGACAGAGGTGGGGCTGACAGAGGCGGGGCACACTGACAGAGGCGGGGCTGACAGAGGCGGGGCTGACAGAGGCGGGGCTGACGGAGGCGGGGCTGACCTGCACCGGTGTCACCAGAGTTGCTGACTCTGCATCAGGAGCTGCTCTAACCTCAGCTTTGGGTCGTGTTTCTCACCTGAGTGCTGACGGTTTGTGTTCCAGGCACAAAGGCCCACGCAGACATCCTGAGGATGATGGCCACTCTCCTGGTTCTGCAGTTGATGAGGCTGGAGAAGCTGCAGGAAGGGACGCTGCTGAGGAACCTGTTTCACCTGGAGTCTTCAGAACACAGGTCTGACCCAAACTCCAACTAAATTCATGATTGGTTTGATTAAAACTCGTCAGCTCGCCTAAAACTGCCAACATCACAGTCACATGACCTAAATGACCAATCAGAACAAAGCAGAGAATACAGCAACAAAGCACCGGTCCAGAAGTCTAGAGTCCATGTGGGTCAGGTTTATTGGATTAGAACCACAGAGCAGAACTGGTCTGGGTTGAGACCATGTGGTTCAGGTTAGGGTCCTGAAGGAACCCAGCAGTCCAGAAAGGACCATCTGGCTGGACGACGAGTCCCAGAAGTCTGTCTGAGTTAGGGTCTTGGATCCGGTTCAGGCAGTGAGGAGCTCAGTGAGGACTAGCAGGACGTGGGTCTGATGATCCCACAGGATCAGCAGAGACCAGCTGAAGTCATCTGACTGTCTCCCTGCAGGTCGGAGCACTGGGACCAGGTCAAGAAGGCCGTGGACTGGGTCCGCTGGGCCGACCGGCAGTATCCGTGCATCTGCAGCCGGCTGGAGCTGGGTCTGAACTGGGAATCCTGCACCCGCCAGCTGCTGGGCTTCGACAGCCTCCCCTCGTTCTCGCCTCTGATTGGTCTGGACCTGCTGGTCCAGTGAGGGCGGGACGCAGCTCTGTGGTCCAACCAACCACCTTCAGACCCTGAAAAAACAGGTTTTAACTGTGGTCCAGACCAAAACACAATTATCTGGTCTGTTTAGATTAAAGCTTTGACATAAAATACTTTAAAAGTTTTAACTGTTTTCTTCAACATACAATACCGTAACTTTAGTTTGACATAAAATAGATTTTTTTGGGTTAGGTATATTTTCTTAATGGTGTCAATCTGTAGTTCTTCTGTTTCAGTCACTTTACTAATAATTTACATGTTTCAGATCAAAGTTTGTTGGGTAAACTTGATTTGAGTATTTCAGATTTTCCACACCAAATTATCATCAATATACATTTTATCCAAATCAAATTAGTATTTCTTTACTGAAACAGATGAGTTGGTTTGTTCTGCTGCTAATGTTTTAAATGTGTGAGAATAAATTGACAAAAGTTGTGAAAGAATCAGTAAAWCCCTCCAGGCAGGGCAGCTTTTAGGAATGGACTGAGAAATGTTTAAAGACAGCAGATCTGATGGGATCAGAGGGTATTTTTTAATGTCTTTAAAGAGCTGATTGGCAGGTATGCTATCCTGACTAAACACTATTTGAAAAATTTACAGTTGAGAAATTATATTAGATCATCTCAAAATCAGTGTATCAATTCCCCCGCTGTCCATTTTGGAAATTAAAATGAAGAATGATGCTTTAAAAAGGAATTATTTCCAAACTATATAGGTGTTAACAAAGGGATCCTCTGAGTCTTCTCTCAGGAAACTTGACACCTGCAGGGAAGATTTACAGAAYTTACCCTCTGAGGACTCAAAGTACTGCGATATATTTGGTTCATGAGGACATAAGTGACGACAGAAAAGCTTAATAAGTACAATGATGCCATCCCAGACTCGTGCTTCAGATGTGGAGAGAAGGGCTCAGTCTTCCATTGTTTGGAAATATAGAAAAGTTTAACAGTTCTGCAGGGAGATCTTTAGAGGTTATACTAGATATAGAACTAACGCTCAGCCCTAAACTGTTCACTCTAGGTTTATATCCTGATAGATGTATGTCCAGAATAATAATCCCTGCCATTGATTTATGTTTACTCCTCACTAACAGACCTAGTACTCATGGAGGAGAACCAGTAAACATTATAAAGGGGAAACTTTCACCGCTTCTATACAGTTGGGGTCCTTTTCTGGACTATATAAAGAGTGTGTTTTGAGGAGTGTGTGTGTGTGGGGGGGGGGGGTGATCTCTGCAGTATCCTAAAATAATCTTTCTTTGGACGTTTTGCTTTACTCTGGATTGTATGAGTATATGTTGTTTAACTATGCACAAGAGTGAAAAAATAGACAAACCTTTGAGTTTTCATTGTTGTTTTTGGGTATTTTTGTTTGTTTTTGTCTTTTCTCATATACTTTGTAACTTCATCTAAGACAGTGGTTCCCAAACTTTTCAGCTTTTGACCCACAAATTGACAGCWRCAGAGAGCTGGACCCCAAACTATTTTTGGTTGATAAACATTGGTATCAAATCAAATAACGGTGTAGTAATATTAATTATGCTACTTGTTATAAGAGAGTGAGGTTAATGTACTTAAAATGGCTACACTTGTTTAAAAAATGACTACGAACAGCTATATTTTCCCTAATCAAATCATAAAATGCTTTCAAGACCCCCACCTTGATGTTTCAAGACCCAAGTTTGGGTCCCGACCTCAACTTTAGGAACCACTACTCTAAGATATCTCATCAATAYCTGACTTATAAGGAAAGACAAGTTGAATGTCGTATAACCCCCCCTAACCCTAATGTTTCTGTAGGGGTCACCTCGAGTGAAAAAAAAGATTTACTGCCTCGAAGCAGGCCTCGGACRGGCCTGACGAGAGGACAGGAACTCTGTCACAAACTGAACTCTATTCAGGCCATGACAGGTCATTCTAACCGTGGAAGAGAACCCCTCAGTTCTCTTAATCAGATAATGGACARAACAATCTCTTCTGTTCGTGATTCATTTGTTGTTTAACTAAGAATGTTTATGCATTTGTTAAATCATGATAATGACTGTCACAGGAAAAGTGGAACCACTTCTTTTCTTTTATCGTGCCTTTAAAGATTTATAATGGTATAAAAAAATCACAGAGAATCTGATTACAATGTTTTCATTGTGTTTTTATGTAAATCACTGTTTTTATTTTACTGTGAACACAGTAATATAATTGTGGATTTTTCCTGAGAAAATCTTTCAWTTATCTGGACTAACAGAAGGTTCAGAACTGATTATAAAACAGAAATGTTAATTAATCATCATAAATGTTTTGCAGTGATTTCTCTTAGAGTCTATCAGAAGAAAGCTGAAGAAAGGTTATCATATCCTGTTGTGAACAGCCATAGAATTTTAACCTTGGGCTGGCGCCGGCTGGCAAATCTTTATCTTTCTTTCTCTGACTCATCTCTAAGCCTGAGGGCGGAACCAAAGTTCGTTCATTTCTTTTACTAACCCTGACGGCTTTGAGCGACACACTCTTCTTCCTGACTCTAACCTAGGAAGAAAGCTGGGTTTTCTCTCTGGAGAAGAACTCAGTTTGGCTTTTAAGTCTTAGCCCATGAGCTAACTAGGGAAGACTTGACAGCCGGGACTCGGCACGCCAGCCAGTCTCACCCCTGAGGCTTCAAGCCTCTAAGTGTGTTTTCAACTCCCATGGGGAGATTTTATTTTGAAAAGAAGGGACCGGATAACAGCTTGAATTTTTCTGGCTTGGACTGAAACAGACAAAAAGTTACCTGTAAAAACACCTGTTCGCCAATGACCGGTAAGCGAGCCGACATCAGTTCCCTGACTGATCTGAGGTGAGACAGTTCCTACCCCGAGGGTGCCTTAAGAAGACATCACCAGGTAAAGCTGACGTGTTCGGGGTGACGTGTCATGTGGAACCTGAGCTTAGAAAAGACATGCTGATCCAGTTGACCCACACTTTGATAAAGTAAAAATAGTAGTAACCTACTAACCTTACTTTCCTCCTTTTCTTTGTTCTTTATTTGCCAAAACTTAAGCTAAAAGTGCCAGTAAAATTGTTTGGTTGTTAACATCAGAACTGACGTTTTACTGTTCTATATAAATAATCTGAGTTGATGTGAATTGAAATTCGGACGTGGGTTTTATCTCATTTAACTCTGACGCTTGTTATAGGAATAACCACAATCAGGTGTAACTTATGATCTGTTTAATTAGTGTAAATAAATGATTACATAGTCTTTATGAATCAACTTGAACTCGTCTGAACGTTCACTTATTGTGTCACTTTTCACTTCGCGCAGTCAAGATATTAACAAGTAATGAAAAATACCTTGTAAAAGTTTCCTCATAACCTTGAGTATGAGAGATGTGGGAGAAGCTTAATACCACCTTAAGCCCCCTCCTACATTTCCTTTTATGAGAGARCATGCTTATTTCTGTATATCATTTGAAAGTATTTTTGAAAACCCAATAAAGATAAAAAGAAGAATCAAACTCCTTGTGTTGTGCTGATCATCATGCTTTATTAAATCAATACTGGGAGAAAAACTCAAGGAGGCTGCAGAATTAGTCAACGCTACAACTCTAACTTCAATCCAACAAAGTGCAGGATGACAGCCGAGGACACGGTTGTTGCTGAACGCAGCCGGAGCTGCCTTTAGACGCTGTTTGGGTCCCCGGTGCCACCCGGCCTGACTGACACGTGAACTTCTAAAATCTAACACACAAACACACGGCACACCTCCGAGAGGCAGCTCTGCCTCTGGAAACAAGCACCGGCAGGACTCCGCTTTACGTGACTGGCCAGGTTGATGGTACGACTGAGGAGCCTGAGCGGCGGTCGTTTACCAGGAGCAGAGCACAAAACAAAAAAACAGCTGCGCTCAGGTGGTGCAGGCCGCTCGCACCCTGAGCTCGTCATAAAAACGGCATATGACATAATCAGTCGGAGGGCGAGGTCCAGTCGTGCTGCTTACATGAGGGTGATGCAAACAGCACTCAGGGTCTCACACTCCCGTTACAATCTTGAAGCACCGCTCCCTTTTTTTTGTTTGTTGCAGCGGTGTGTTTATAGTTTTGTCTCTGTTTCGTAACATCAACAGGGAGCCTCTCTACCTGTTGAGGCAAACTTAGACTTCAACTGTTCGTTGAGGCACAGAGTTTAGTTTCTCACTTTAACAAGGTATTCGTTTCTGTCGAAACTTTCTCCTGTTAAACTACATTAAGTTGCTTTAAGTTTCTCTTTATATTATYGTCTTAAATAACAATGCATACATTTCCCATAACCGGTAAATTCGGCTATATACATTATGTACATGTCACAGAAAAATGGATCAAACATCCTAAGTCATTGTTATCCAATATGGCACATTTTACATCTTTAGACTTAAGTCTAGTTTGGCAAAAATTCATGTCAAGTTTGGTACAAAAATAGTTCCTATTTACAAGAAAATTCCTGATCTTTATCAAGTAAACCACTTTGTTAATTAATAAATAAAAAGGCATGGAAGAAGGGAACAGGGGACATTGAAAGGATTAGATTTGTTTTTACACTGATCGAATGCTGATGTGGACAGTTGCTGTGTCAGATCCGAGTTCATTGGACAGTTTGAGAGTGTAAGCTCCAGCATCTTCCTTCTTTACTCCAGTGATGATGAGGGTGGTCAGGTCATCGGTGGTCTCGATATGGAACCGCCCCCCTGCGGTCACCTCGATGGTTTTACCGCCGCGGGACCACTCGATGTTTTTGGCGTCCCCGGAGAAGGCACAGGCAACTGTTAGGACTTTGCCTGGCTCAATGCTGATGTCTTCTGGCAGAGCTTCGATTCTTGGAGCAGAACCTAAAACCAGACAGTTACACAGCTGAGTGCATGAAACAACTTTTTATGTCTTAAAACAACAACAAAACTAAACTAAAGGAAACAGTTTGATCAAGACTGGTGAGCTCGGACTTTTGGGGAGCAGTACATTACACAAAGTAGATGATATTTAGTTAAAACGAGTGTAGGAGTCAAGTACAGGATACAGGATTTTAGCCGCTACAAGTGTTAGACTGTTTGGATCTACAGCTCAGACTTCAGCTGAACCATCTTTCAAATTTTAAACAGGTCACATAAAGTTGGAGGATTTGTGTACATTTTAACAACAGAATGCTGAATTTTGTGTTTGACACACTAACTTTCAGCGGACTAAACCTTCCAACATGTGTTTGGACTTCAGGGAACTCTTCTACAGAAACTTTCCAGTGATGATTTATAGTCGCAGAATGGCTAATTGTTTAAAAAGACCCAACAACTCTTACCAATAGCTCTCAGTGAGGATCCCTCTAAGTGGGACGTCATCTCTGTGAGGCTGCTGGAGCTCATGGCGTACGTTTCAGATGCCACTGAGGACATGCTTGACATGGACATGGTCTCAAACTTCATCTCGGCTGCCATGCTGCTGAAGGAGCTCGACTCCATCATAGATGACATCATCTGGTGGGCAGAGGAGGAAAAGGAAGACTCCTCCATCGTGTGCATTTCTTTCTTCATCATGGACGAGCTCATTGATGAGGAGGACTCCTTGTGACTCATCATCGATCCTGTAAAAGTCACATGACGTAAGAAACAAAGACTTTCTTTTATCCAACACATCTGGAGGAAGATTCTCACCTTTGAGGGACACTTGCTTCTCACGGTAGGCTGTGATCTTCTTCTGTATGGACTGAAACACCTGCCCCACGAAGGAGAAGGAGGATTTGGACACTCCTCCCTCTGAGGTCATCTCACAGGTGTACTCTCCCTGATCCCCGTCTGTCAGGTCATGGATCAGAAGACTGCAGGAACCTTCAGAGTAGTGCATCTCAAAGCGGCTGCTCTGTGAAAGCCTCCTCCCGTTTACCAACCATGTCACCTCCCTGACGCTGCTCTCACACACACAGGACATCCTGACTGAACCCTCCTTGGCCTCTGCTGTTACCTGACTCAGGACTTTGGGAGGTTTGGGGACTGGGGACTTCACAGTGGGAGGAGACACAACCCTCTTGGGGGAAATGATAGGAGGAGGAGATTTCACCCTTGGAGGGGATTTGAGTCCAGAAGGTTCTGGGGACTTGATGCCTTTTGGTGTTTTGATCCCTGCAGGTTCTGGGGACTTAAGACCTCTCAGTGTTTTGGGACCTGCAGGTTCTGGAGATTTGAGTCCTCGAGAGGGTTTTACTTCCTCGGGTTCTGATGACTTTACACCTCCAGGAGGCTTGATTGTTGTTGGTGATTTGAGTCTGGGTTCAGGGGATTTTAGACCACGTGGTGACTTAACTCCTTCTGGTTCTGGAGACTTTACACCAGGAGTTGGAGATTTTAAGCTGCGGGCAGGAGAAGGTGCTGGTGACTCTGGAGCTTTTACAGTCTTTGAAGATTTAACTTCCTCTGGTTCAGGAGACTTCACACTTGGAGTTGGTGATTTTATACTTGGGGTAGGAGATGTAACACTTGGTTCTGGGGACTTAACTGACGGTTCTGGAGATTTCACACTGGGTTCTGGTGACTTCACACTTGGAGCAGGAGAAGTAGTAGAGGGAGCAGGTTCAGGGGACTTAACACTAGGTGTCTTCACAGGTGGCTCAGGGTGTTTGACAGCTTTGACTTCCTCTTTAGGAATTGGTCTTCGGATTGTCAGACTGAAGTGAGCCTCTTGTTGACCTGCTGAGTTCTCCACCACCACAGTGTAACTGCCCTCATCAGAGGTCTTTACAGAAACAATCTCCAGACAGGATTTGTACTGGGTTGTGGTGACCTGGATATGTTGAGAAGATACAAGAGTTCTACTCTCATGGAGCCATGTGACAGTGGGTGCAGGCTCTCCATCAATATCACAGAAGAACCTAGCTGTCTCGCCCTCGCTTACTGTCACAGACTGAGGCTTTGTCAGGATTTTTGCTGGAACAGAAGGTTTCTYCTTGTGGACAGTAACTTGTTCAGCAACAGCAGTAGATGACGCYTTCAATTTAGCCTCAGCGGTGACGTGTTTCTCAGTCGAAGAGAMTCTCTCTGATGAGTATGAAGAACTTGATGAGAGGTATTCAGCGGAGGTATACTTGATGGAGGAGTCATACCTCTCAGCAGAGGAGAACCTCTCAGAAGCACCAAATCGTTCACRTGTCTCATGTGTTTCTGTTAGCTTTGACTTGCTCTCTTCCACTTCCAGGTGCGTTTGGGTGGTGTAGCCAGTTTTGAAGTGTGTGGTATGATAATGGTCAATTCGAGAAACTTCAGGGACATGAGCTTTAGGAACTTCTTCATCCCTGCGGCGTGAAGAGAATGTRGTGTAGGCACCACTGGACACCTCCAGGGTGGCGTAGTCTGATGCCTCTCCCTTAGCGTTGGAGCATACGCAGCGGTATGTCCCGCTGTCCTCTTCCTGACAGTCCAGGATTGTGATGGACAAAACGCCGCTCATATTTGAGAATAGGTATTTTTCACTGCTTTCTGAGATCTCAGTTCCGTTGTGAAGCCATCTGAYCTCTGCCTCTGGCTTTGCTTGGATGTTCAAGGTGAATTTGGTGTCTTGGCTGACTGGGATTCGGTGGGAGCGCATCCTAACAGTTACACGAGGAGCATGGTCCAAGCTGAAAGGTGATTGACTAACAACCTGGTATTTCCTTTCAGACTTCAGGGCTGCTTTTCTGGCTTCATAGCGGGACATGATGTCAAAGCGAGCAGAACGCTCAAACCTGGAGGAGGAGCGGGATGACCTCTCCACTGACTTGATAGGACTGGGGGAACGGGGACGGGTCCTCTCTGGAGTGGGGGACCGCCGCTCCACAACCTCTCCCTCTGTCTCCACAGGAGGACGTGCACGTGGGGGTCTGATCAGCTCTGAGACTGGACGCATTAGCTCAWTGTAAGTGGGAGACAGAGACCTTCTCCTTCTCATAAACTGAGAAACGGTGCGTTTCTTCTTTGTCTCAGTRACTTCGGCGGCCTCACGTCTGACCTCCAGCCTCCTCTCTTCGTGTTCCAGGGCATGTCGTTGGACACGGACTGGGCTTCCAGCAGGAGAGGCTGAAAATCCAAGCTCCAGTTCATCTTCCAACATCAGTCTCTCTTCCTCTGTTCTCTTCTTGGTGAGGTAGTCGTCCACAGGCATCATCAGTTCTTCATCACTGAGGTCACCCAGAGATCTCCTTCTGGATCTGAAGGAGGCTTCAGACTCAGGAGAGGGTGAGCGACGTGCAGGTCTGACAGTCTCTAAATCATCCAGAGTGAGTTTGGGAATGCGCCACCTTGGTCTGTACTGGTCTGTGATCCTGGGCAGGGGCATAACATAGAACTGCTCCCACCTGGACAGGCGGATACGTCTCTGTCTTCTCTGCACAATCCTCTCAGTTCTTTCTGGAATCTCATACTGATCTCTCAGCTTGCGATACCATTTCATGTCAGACAGCGGCACAAACTGCTTGATGGCTTTGTCCTCATCMAGAGCTTTAGGATCATGAACCACAGGCTCTGGAATCTCATAGGGCAAGAAAATCCTTCTTTCCTCCTCCAGCTTCTTGGTTTCTGTTTTCTCCACCGTGATGTTGAACTCTCCCTCAATGTTCTTGGTACTCACTGCAGGTTTGTACACTTCTGCAGCAAATTTGAGAGCTTCCTGTGCTGTTGGGTTAAGAGCTACAAGTTCCTCAGTAGCAGCAATGTGCTGAGCCATTTTGTTGGTCTTTTCTATTTGTTTCTGTACATGCATGTGTTTTTCCTCCTCACTCTTGTACTCTCTTCTTGTGTAAGTAACCCGGTCCACCTTCAGTGCAGCCTGACAGCTTGCTGAGCCAGCAGAGTTGGTTGCAGTAACTTTGTATACACCAGCATCCTCTAGCAGAGTCTCTCTGATGTGTAGGACATGGTAATCAATGTCCTCCTGTATGACAACAACTTTAGGACCAAACTGTAGTGGATGACCATCCTTTTCCCATTTTAGTGTTGGACTGGGAACTCCTGAAACTCTGAGCTCAAAGCGGACACTCTCTCCCTCTATACATTCAATGTTGGCCAGCAGACGTTTAAACATGGGCCTCATGGTTTCCTCTGAAACAGGATGAGGTATCACATTGAGACGAGCCTTGCAACTGTCTTCTCCAAACTTGTTGTGGGCCATGACTGTGTATTCAGCATCGTCACTCATGTCCAGGTTGTGAATCATGAGCTGGTATAAGCCCTTATCGCTGGTGAATGTGTACTTGCTGTCGTCCTCTTTGAGTCTTTCTCCATTTTTAAGCCATACTACATGGGGCTCTGGGTGGACAGTAATGGTGACACCAAAGCGCACATCTTCACCAATGTAAGCAGTGCRGTTGTAGAGAGGCAGTGTGAACTCTGGTGGTCTCTGTAAGAGTTTAGTTTTGTCGACCCTCCTCCTCAGTTTCTTGATGGTGCGGCTCATGTAGTGTTCTCTGATGCTCCTCACTGTCTCAACAAAGAGTTCTCCATAAGCACTGTCCTCTCCATCATCACTCACCACTTTGCATCTATAGACACCATCATCACCCTCTTCAATATCCTTCACATAAATGCTGGCAAACCCGTTATTGTATGAAATCTCATACTTAGCACTTGAGTGTAACTGACGGTTACCAAAGTACCATGACACCTGGGTGCTCTTGTCATAGTTAACAAGGGTACAGGTGAATCTGACATGGCCGCCTTCCTCAGCTGAACTGTGCATGACAGGGCCAGCACGGAGGCCACGATACTCTGTTCCAATTTTCACTTTGCCAACATCCAAACCTCGCTGGTTCCTGAAGGCGCCGCCGTACGCCACACGGGCAGCTGAGACTATAGTATCAGTCTTCTTCACCAGAGACTGATAATATCTCCTGTGTCTCAGTGTCTTGATGACCTTGTTGCTCACATTCACAATCTTCATCTTGAGCCATGGGTGCTCCAAAGCCTCATGAGCAGTCATACGGAGCTTTCTGTCTTTGACCAGAAGTCTGTCTATAAAGTCCATAGCCTCCAGGCTGATGTCCTTAAATGCTTCCCTATCAAARATGTACTCACAGTTTGAGATGTTTTCAATCATCTTTGTTGTGGACTCGGCAGCAAACGGATTAAGGCCACTGAGGAGAACATATGCCAAAACGCCAACAGACCACATGTCAGTGGCTGTTGTGACCAGATCATGACGGTGAACTTCTGGAGCGTAGTATTCTGGAGCTGAGAACGGCATTCTGATGTTTTCTCCTGGTAYCAGCAGCCTAGATTGTCCCATCTCAATAATCTTGATGTTGGTACTTCTCCTGGTGGTGTATACAATGTTATCTGGGCGGATATCAAAGTGGCCAAAGTTCTGGCTGTGCAGGAATTTGAGAGCAGAGCAGACTTGTCTCAGATAGCGGACAATCTCTTGTTCTGTGAGCTCAAAGTTGCAGGTGCCAAGACGCTCGAAGATGTCAACTCCAGAGATGAACTCAAAGATGAGTATAATTTCCTCCATGCTTTCAAAGTATTCATRCAGATAGATTATGTTCTTGTGTCTTGCAATGTTAAGGGCTTCTATTTCCCTGAGAACCAACTCGCGGTCAGTTCCTTTGACTTTGATGAACTTGGCCATGAAGGTCTTCTTTGTGGCAATCTCCACGCAGCGGTGGACCACTCCAAACTGGCAGCGAGCAAGCTCCTCTGAGATGATATACTTGGAGGACAGCTCCTTCACCTTATAGAACAGAGCCTCCTCTTTGGTTATCTCTCTAGTTTCATCCACTTCCTCATCATAGTTCCTGATCACAGACTTGTCTTCCTTTGTGGTAATGGGTTCAGTTGGCACAGAAGGAAGACTCAGGCCAAACTGGTTCTCTGCTCTAATGCGGAACTGGTATTTGGTCTTTCCAAATATGTTAATAATAGTGATACTGCATTCATCAGTGTGACCAGCACGGATCCACCTGTCTGCAGTGGTTGGACACTTCTCAACAATGTATCCAATAATGTCGCTGCCACCATCACTGGCAGGTGGCTCCCAGGTCAAGGTGATGGAATCTCGGGCAATGTCGCTGACCACAAGTCCCTTTGGAGCATCAGGAATGTCGGCAACATTTACTTCAATGGTTTGCTTGTCTGTTCCAAATCTGTTCTTGGCAGTAACAATGTAGTAGCCAGTGTCTCTCCTCTCTACTCCCTTCTGGAACACCAAAGAGGTGAAAGATCTAGTAGTGATGACTTGGTGATAAACAGAGTTAGAGAGGACCTCCTGGCCCTTCTGCCAAGTGACTGCTGGTTCAGGCTTTCCAGAGATGGGAATCTTGATGGTGACGTTATCTCCACGAACAGCCTGAACCGCTCCCATTCCCTGGAGTTCTTTAGGCAGGTGGATCTTTGCAGGAACTGAATTTTAAAGGAAGAAAAAAACATTACAGTGGTAAAAACATTGTCATTAGAACTTGTTAGATATAACCTCATAGTTTTAGGAATTATATGAAACAATAAATCCAAAATGTCTTTACTACCTTCCACCTCCAGGTTGGCTGTTGTAGAGATAGATCCTGAGGGGTTGGTTGCTCTGATTTGGTACACAGAGGCATCGTTCTCATCAGCAGCAGTGATGACGAGCTGGTAGTAGCCACCCTTGAACTCAAGGGCTTTTATTTTTGTTCCATCTGCCAAGATCTCCTTTCCACTGCGATACCATTTGACCGCAGGCTTTGGGTGACCCACAACCTAATCAGAGGAAAGTAAGTTAAATACATGCTAAACAGGAAACATAAACACATAGTGGCTTTGTTTATTAAAAACATGTTTGTCTGACGTACCTTAGTAACAAAGGTGGCATTGGCGTGGTATTTGACAGTCATGTCTCTGATCTCCTCTCTGAATGCAGGAGCCTTCGGSGCCTGTTCAGACTTGGGTATGATCGGTGCAGAGATCTCACTCCAGTCACTCTCACCGCCCATGTTCTTACATTTCACACGGAACTCATACTCAAAGCCCTCAATCAATCCTTGGACTTCATAGCTTGTCTCAACCATCTTCTTGGTTGTTACAGACATCCACTTGTTCTGCTTCTTCTCGCGTTTCTCAAGGTAGTAATTGGTGATTTTCGCTCCACCGTCACTACTTGGTGGCTTCCAGCAGACAACACATGAGTCCTTGGTGGAGCTGATGATGAAGGGCTGCTGTGGAATACCAGGTTTATCTGAGAAAAAAAACAAAACAGTAAATGTCATTATGGGTCTTTAATCCAGTCTCTGAAACACAAGATACAGTATATAAGGTTATCAGGGTTTTACCAAATGGACTCTTGACGATGACCACTGAGGGGATCTCCAGAGGCTCACTGACTCCATACTGGTTCTGGGCAGAGACTCTGAAGTAGTAGCCAGCATTTTCAGTCAGGTTGGGGACACGGCAGGTGGTGCCAGAGACCGAAGAAGAGACCAGGTTCCACTGTTCACCTTCTTTGGCCTCACGTTTCTCCACTATATAGTTGGTGATCACAGATCCACCGTCATCCTTGGGGACCTTCCAGCTGATCACAACRGAGCTCTTAAGCAAGGCATCAACAATAACTGGACCTTCAGGAATGCAAGGTTTGTCTGGAAATAGCAAGGAAGAGTCAGTACYATCTCATCAGGTTTTTGTTGCTTTCAGCGAATAAGAAAAAACAAACACATATTTTATCCATTTGAAAATAATTTGGATTAAACTTGAGTTCACTGCAGCACGCTTTTACCTTGTATTTCAACTTTCAGCACAGTGTCGATGGTTCCAAACACATTGCTAAGTTGCACCTTGTAGCGACCAGCGTTGGTTTTTCTCTGGACGTTTCTCACCACTAGGTGTGTGTAGCTTTCTGTGTTTTCAATTATAACATTCTCAGATGCATTCAGAGGTTTCTTGCCATAGAACCACATGATTTGGGGGATAGGTCGACCAATGTAGACAACGTGGAGACGAAGGCTGGTACCAGCCCCAGCAAAGTACTTCTCCTTCAGAGGGAAACCAGGATGGAACTGAGGGGGTGCCTGCAAGCGTAGTTTACCACTGGTCTCTATCTCGCCAGCCTCATTGATGGCCCTGCAAGTGTACAGGCCCTCATCTTCCTGTTCTTCCGTCAGGATGGTCAGGGAGTGGTTACGTCCATCTGAGCTCATCTTGTACTTGCGACTCTGGATCAGCTCTTTGCCATAGCGATACCACTTGATCTCCGGCAAAGGTCTGCCTACAATTCCACAGGTTAGAGTGCCAGATGTGCCAAGYTTGGTGGTTACATCTTCAATCTCTTCTTTCAGAGCTGGAGCTTCACCAACTGCAGGAGAACAAAGTTTAAATAAAATTATTGTGAGAGCAACATTTTGACAACAATAGCTATTAGAACCAACTCAGTTTTTTGGATGATATTGCACTCAGCCACAGCTCACCACTCAGTTTGGTCTTGATGCCCATCGGTGTGCGACGAGGTCGGCTGAGTCCAGTCTCATTCTCAGCAAAGATTCTGAACTCGTACTCTGTAGCCTCCATTAAGCCACCCATGGTGAACTGACGATCCTTGGAGCGCTCTTTGTTGCATTTCTTCCAGGCACTCTCTCCAGACTCCCTGTACTCAACCCAGTAACCCAAGATCTCCTTTCCACCATCATGTTCAGGCCTGAGCCAGTGGATGGTGATGCTGTCTTTGGTGATGGAGACAATGTCGATATCTCCYGGTTGGCTGGGTTTGTCTACAAGAAGAAAACCAGCAAGAGTCAAGACTGTCAGAAAACTTATTTTTACTTAATATAAAGTTTGTGCTTGAGTTAGGTTTACATAATTCAATAAACTCCAAAAGTCCTCCTTTCTTTAAATCCAAACTCTGTTTTATCACCATRTACAAGTGACAATAAGAATCAAAAGGTAATACACACCAAATGGATCTTTGCAGACCACAGRTTCTGAAGCAGGACCAGGTTCACTCTGCCCGATGTCATTTTGAGCTACCACTCTGAACATGTACTCTGCATTGGGTATAAGTCCAGTCACATTGAACATGGTGGTGGTGATGTGGGTCTTGTTGTGACGGACCCACTTCTCTGTTGAAACCTCTCTACGTTCAACATAGTATCCTGTTACACGAGAGCCACCATCGTCCCGGGGCCGAGCCCAGGACAGAGACACTGTGGTCTTGGTGACATCCATGATCTCTGGTGGGTTGCTGGGAGGTTCAGGTGGACCTGTGATGAAGAATATTTTCAGTGAAACCAAAATTGAACCTCTTTTTGTGSAACAAAGTTACAGCTRAATAGTGAGTGTCGTATAACTTATTACACAACAACATTTAGACAACTTTGTACACAATACTCACAAAGAGGTGTCTTTGGTAGAACTGATTCTTCTGACTTGAGAGATCTGCTAACACCAAACTGGTTCTCAGCAAAAACCCTGAAGTGGTACTCAACATTCTCCTTCAAACCCTTCACCACCAGAGAGGTCTCTGTTACTCGGGCATCCACTGTGTACCAGGCAGCCTTTGGTACTTCCCGCCTTTCCACAATGTAACCCAGGATGTCAGATCCACCATCATCTGAAGGTGATCTCCAGCTAACCCGGACTGATCGGGCCTGAATGTCATCAAATTCCAGGGGTCCTTCTGGGGGATCAGGGCGACCAATTACTTTGACCTGGAGATGGAAGACATAAAGAATGTCAAGTAAAACATCATGATGCATTTGATTTTACTATTATTACTTGAATCTGCCCAAAGTGCTCACTTTGATGTAGACAGCCTTCCTTCCACATTTGTTTTCSAGAACCAGGTCATAGGTACCAGTGTCATCTTTGTGTGCTTCTTTGATGACCAGCTCAGTGATGTCATCATGGGTGGCAATCATGGCCCGATGGGAGATGTCCCGACCATCCTTGGTCCACTTAACTGTCGGGACAGGTTTACCCTTAATGGGTACAGATAGATGGATGACGCCGCCTTGCCGCACCACGTAGCCTTCCTCGTATTTATGATCAAGCTCATAGTCAGGATAACCTGTAAAGGACACACATTAGATTTATGCTTGGCAAAAGAATCTTCCGGGAAGTAGATCATTTTTGACTTATGGGGTTAATGGAAAATGTTTTGTAATTTGTAATAACTTGTTCTCCTACCAAGCATCTCCTGGACCTTAACGACTCCAGGAATCTCTGCAGGTTCTCCAACACCACCAGCATTGCAGGCGATGATCCTGAACTTGTATTCTGCACCCTGGGGCATATGGGTCAGCGTGTACTCGCACATCTTAGTGGGTGTGGTGTTGCACAGRGTCCATTCAACCTGGTCCACCTTCTGCATCTCAATAAAGTAGCCAGTAACAACAGATCCACCTTCTTCTTCCGGCGGCAGCCAAGCCAAAGAGACGGAAGTCCTTGTGGTGTCTGTAACTCTGGGCTGAACTGGAGCACCTGGAGGTTCTGTTATACAGCATGGAAATAAAACCTCAGTAAACATATTAACTCCTTTGTTGTGTGACAAACTGAGTGTAGCATCACATACCAATKGGGTCCATAGCAACAGTAATGGCAGAACTTTCACTGGGTTTGCCAGTTCCTCTAGAGTTGATGGCTGTGATACGGAACTCATATTCCAGGCCTTCAATCAGTCCAGAAGAACGGTAGCGGGTCATGGTGACAGGGTTCTTATTGATTCTTAGCCACCTGTCAGAACGAGCCTCTTTACGTTCTATGATGTAACCGGCGATGGTGGAGCCACCGTTGTCTTCAGGTGCATGCCAGGTCACGGTCATGCCCTCATGTGTGACATCAACCACCTCTGGCTGGCTTGGAGGTCCAGGGATGGCTAATAAAAAGAAATGTCCTTTAAGCTGAAGGAAATACTAATACAACAGTTTCCTACATACAAAAACTGGAAYAATATATGCATAAGTTAAATTTTCTGTGCATTTAACTGACCAACAATAAATGTTGGGCAGAAATGCTTACATTGATTTGTTCTTAATGAAACTTTATATCAGTAGAAAAAATAAAATGCAATAATGGACTCACTCTTGGGGCTCTTGCATTCCACCACCTCAGACTGCAGGAAGCCACCAACACCAAAGCGATTCATGGCAGCAACGCGGAACACGTACTCTGTTCCCTCAGAGAGTCTGGTGAACTTGAAACATGGTCTGGTCACTGATTCAGAGACCGTGGTCCAGCCTGGATGGTGGGCGTTACGCTGCTCTACCACGTAGCCGCTGATGTTAGCACCACCATCCTTCTCTGGAGGTGCCCAGCTAACTGTTACAGATACACCATCAGTCTCCTCAATCTTCATTGGGCCGACTGGGACACCGGGTTTGTCTGAGCAGAAACATAGTAAGTAAGTAAGTAATAGTTTGTTTCTTTTTTGCCATGCACCATGAAACATGTCCTGGACTCATGAGCTTAAGACACACAAACACATTCAAAGATGCAGACACAACATCCTTCAAACATAAAGTGTCCTCTTTCAAAGGTGCCAAGCTTTCATACATACTGAGCTAACTGAAACACATAGTACTTRAATAAATACTGTAGTTTATCATCATCACCCATATAGAAAAATCAGGGTAAACATCAAGGACTTTACCAAACAAGTCTTTTCTGAGAATCCTATACAATGGACAATAAAACAAAAAGTGYTCTTCATTTTCAATTTCATTTGAATCTCAAAGAATGTTTTCAGTTCTTCTCTGGGACTGAGTGAAATCATCCCATTTCTAAAGCTAGAGGCAAAGTACCAGATCTAAGCTGTGAACGCACTGATGTCTGGCTTTTAGTTAGGTTTCATGTGACATACAGCTCTGGTTTACATAAAATGTCACTAGCTCATTTATACTTATAAGCTTCAAAATAAAAAATATAAAATGTGTTCAATGTTACAGCTCAGCTGTTTTTTGTAAATGTACTCCTTAAATATCATCTCAGTCTGTCAAGCCCAAGCATATCTGTTGGACAAGCCACAACAAAAATGTGTTTTATTAACYTATGATCTCACAAAGTAATAAACCTGTTCCACAGTTTCACCATATCTCCAATATCTAACATAAAATGACTTAAAACATATGAAAATCCTACCAAACCATTTCATTTGAAAAATGATTGTAATAGTTTTGGCTCTCTAATCACTATAATTTCTTTAGGTTTGCAGGAAGTCTCCTTACCAAGGATGATGACCTTGATGACCTCAGTTGCCATGCCGATAGCGTTTTTCACCTCCAGTGTGTAGTCTCCAGTGTCATTGATGGTGGTGTCACGAATAACCAGGTGGGTGTATTTGCCATTACTCTCAATCTTGATGCGGTCCAGGCTGTCCTTCAGCTTAGCACCACCAAAGTACCAGGAGCACACAGCCTGTGGCTTGGCCTTGATGGGGATGTTAAGATCGATAGGTTTGCCCCGGTGCACCTGGACAATCTTCTGAGGGATGCTGGTCAAATCAATCTTTGGCATCACTAAAAGACATTTTTCATATGTTTTAGTAATTTCCTGAGTTTGATGAGCAGATAATTGTTAAAGCTGCAATGACTCACCCTTGATTTCCTGAATTGTGACTGGATTCACTATGTCCATGGGCTCACTAGTTCCCCTGCTGTTGGTGGCTCGAATTCTGAACAGGTACTGGTCATTCTCTGTCAGGGATTGGATGGTGTGTTGGGACACTGAGGCTTTGACCGTGGCCACAACACTCCACCTGTCAGAACCAGCTTTGCAGGCTTCTATGATGTAGCCTGTCAGCCTGCTGCCACCATCGTGCAATGGTTTATCCCAGTGCAGAGTCACAGAGGACTTGGTGACATCAACAATATGCAGGTCCACGGGCACTGAAGGTACTTCACACACCAGGACAGGTTCTGCTGTCTCACAGGGCTCACCAACACCATAGATGTTCTCAGGCAGGACTCTGAAGAAGTAGTGTACACCTTCCTCCAAGCCTGTGATCCTGAACAAGGTTTTCCTGCACTCAGTGGTGATGGTCTTGTATGACTTCATGTTGGCTTCACGCTTCTCTATAATGTAGTTGCTGACATGAGCGCCTCCATCAATGGTGGGGACATCCCAGGTGATCACAACAGATTCCTTGGTGTAGTCCTTCACCCGGACTGAACCTGGAGGACCAGGAGTGTCTGAGAGAGAGAGAGACATAAAGGGTACAAAGATTTGTTTGAGTTCAATCATTTCACAAGCAGAAAAACAACAAAGTCATTACTTTTCCTGTTTATAGTGATTGAAAATTTAATCGTGTTGAAATGTAGAAACTTGCTGAACATACCGTAGACTTTAACCAGGATGGTGGCAGTCTTCTTGCCAGTTGGATTCTCTGCCTCCACAACATATTTTCCAGAGTCATAGCGGTTAACCTTCTCCATAGTGAGCGCGGTGTAACTCTCAGTGGTCTCAATGTAGCCACGGGTCTGCAGCTCCACGCCCGTCTTCCTCCAGGCGATCACCGGTGTTGGACGACCAGAAATGAACACCAGCAGTCGCAGGGTTCCACCGGCTCGCAGACACACGGTTTTCTTCAGGTCGTCAGCCAGCTCCAGGTCAGGCATTTCTGAACAGATGGAGCACAGCAGGAGGACATGTTAAGAATACTTTGAATGTTACTTGACAAACGAGATTTTAGACTTCTGTGATGGATATAAGGACCAGCTCACCAATTTTCTCTAGTGGCTCGACCTCTGAGCTGGCTTCACTGAACTCTCCGGTACCATTGCTGTTGATGGCGGCCACTCGGAACCTGTACTTCTTAYTGGCTGCCAGGCCAGCGGCTACATACTCATTGGTTTTTAGAGGCTTGGCAGTTGCACGGTACCACTGTTCAGAGCCCTCCTCTAGAATCTCTACCACGTAGCCAGAGACGTCGGAGCCTCCATCATACATGGGTCGGGTCCAGGTCAAGCTGATGCTGTGCTTGGTGGTGTCAGTGATACGAGGCACTGATGGAGCAGCTGGGGTATCTGACGAAGAGAAATATCATTTTCAGATTTTATTAACTGAAAACAGTATTTCTGGTGGATCCAGTTAATATTAGTAAAGATGGGGTCAAGAAAAGACCCTTACATGTGGGGTCTTTGCAGAGAATGTAAGGAGTGGAGTCACTCGGCTGGCTGTCTCCAGCAGCATTGACAGCTGTCACTCTAAACTGATACTCGCTTCCTTCCAGCAGGCCAGTGATCTTCAGACGGGTGTCATAGATTGTGTAAGTCTTGTTTACCCGAGTCCATCTGGTTTCATATAGGAGACACAGAAATTACAACCATTTTTATGTAAGGAGATAAAAGTTGGTTTGAGTTCTTTAGAAGCTGTTCTGACCTGGTGCTGCTTTTCTCTCGTTTCTCCACAATGTAGGTTTTGATTTCATTGCCTCCGTCGGTTTCAGGCTTCATCCATTCGATGATGATGTGCTGCTTTCCTACAGCCGTGGCCTCCGGAGTGCCAGGCTGGGATGGGACAGCTAGAGAAGGATGGGAGCAGCAGTCAAAACTTAGAAAATCTGTTCCCTGTAGATCAACTTTTAGAGCCAACCACATTCAAGATGAAACCAATCAGACTTAAAAACACAAAACTGGCTTTAACCCGGTTAATTTGACAGGTACTTAACTGAAATCTGGTGTGGCAGTAAGAGTCATCAACAACACATACTACAAGCACTGACAGATTGTTTGGGATCTCAATAAATTGCATGAGATCACAAAAGTTTGACCAAAACAACTACAACTCTGTCAGTCCTAAACATAAGATGATCATAGTCTAAAACTGGAATGAAAGGCAGCAGGCAATGTGTATTTCCTCATAAGTTCTTAATTTAATAATGTTCAAAATTATATATTGTCAAAAAATGATACATATTAATTTCAAAATGTCTCACTCTGTGAAMTTTGACCCTAAAACAACAAATTAAATTCAGCTCCAATGCTGAACTTACTGTAGGCRTTTCTGGCTATGACCGGCTCAGACTCCAGAGGAACTCCAGGTCCGAACTTGTTGACTCCTCTGACTCTGAAGATGTACTCGTTGTTTTTGATCAGCCTGCTGCTGACACACGACAGAGACTTGCACTCTGCCTCCATGATAACCCAGTTGAGGCGGCTGGTCTCACGGCGCTCCACGATGTAATGGCTGACGGTGTCTCCGCCATCCTCGAAGGGAATCTTCCAGGAAACTGTGCACTTCTCCTCCGTCACTCTGCTGATCACAATCTTATCAGCTGGAGGTCCGGGAGTGTCTGAGAGGAAACATTCAAGTTAGATTTGTGTTCTGATATTTTACAAACTAAATTGTTTTTCTGTTTATCTCTGACCCAAACCATTTCCACATACTTTGTTTTTTAAACTATTCATGTAGCAAAAAGTTCTGATCAACAACAGACTTTTAGTAACTTTTATACCTTTTGTTTTCTTTAACTTGATGTATAAAATATTTCCCCCATAGAATACACTGAGATTCCTTCAGTTACAATCTACCTTAACCTGGTTTTACTAAATGTAGCTTGTAGCTACTATTTTGATGATTTTAGCTTTTGTTTTGTTGATCTCTGCTTGGTTTGGCGTGGGCTCACCCAGAACTTTCACGYTGACGCTTGCAGTCTTTATTCCACTGGCGTTCTTCACAGTGAGGATGTATCTTCCTGTATCRTATCTGTCACAGTTCTTGATGACGGCCATGGCTTTGGTGGACGTGTACGTCAGCGAGTATTTCTCACCAAGCTCCAAGATCTTGTCACCCTTTGACCAGTAGACAGTTGGTTCTGGTTTTCCACCCACAGCACCATCCAGGACCAGATCAGAGCCAGCCATGATGGTGACGGTCTCACCTATCAGCTTGCTGTCCAGCTCCGCTCTGGGAGGAGCTGAGGAAAAGAAGAGAAGATTGAGTTGAGTACTGAACAGTTCAATATTAGCACATGCTTTGTAAACCTAACAATACTGGAAGTAAAAAGGTCAGAGGTCAATCAGAGACACATTCAGCTTTTGATAATAACTGGGAGTGAAGTCATGTTAGTTACTGCAGCAGAGTTATGTGTGGTAATATCCAGTTCTTGCATTCTTCAAGCAGGTTTCATGTTTATTAGTATTTTTATTTTGTATCTCTGAATCACTATTTGAATGTTGTTGCAGTTTTGGTGCTCAGTTCACTGCTCTGTTGTTCACTGGTTTTTAGAACACCTGCTTCTAACACTAATGTAAACAATGCAACCATGTTTGTCAGTGTTTTAAAATGGCTTCAACTGTTTGACAATCTGTATACCACCACTGCAGGGACCAACCACCTGAAGACTCTTGAATACCAAAACCTCTAGTCCCAGACAAAAAAGTCCCCGAACAGTAAATGGCACTAATATTTCTTAAAATATTTTCTTTCTCAGTGGCGCMTGAGCTGAATTTGCCTTTGATTGACCTCTGAACTTCTCTGTCTTGTTCACATTGGTCAGTTATAACCTGATCCTTTGTCCTTTATGATTGCACAATTGATGTATTTCAAACACATTTAAAGCTAAAATAAATAAATAAATAAATAAAATACAATGTCTTTAATAGATTAAAAATCATTTTAAGGTATAAAACCAGATTTAACATACAGTATTCGTCCTTGCATGTGACCGGTCCAGTGGTCTCAGAGGGCGCACTGTGGACACCAGCAGCGTTCTTGGCAATGACTCTGTACTCAAAGGTTTCTCCCTCTCCCAGGTTTGTGACAGTGAAGTAATTTTCTGTGATTGTGGTGTAGTTGCATTTCAGCCAGCGGTTGTCATCCCACTCGTCTGTGCTGTAGACTTTCCTCTCCACAATGTAACCCACAATCTTACTGCCACCGTCATTGAAGGGCACAGTCCAACACAACGACACAGATGAGCGGCTGATGTCCGTAACCTCAGGTTTACCAGGAGGATCTAAACCAGAAAATTTAAGGTTTTATTACGCACCACAACATCCCTTTAATCACAACTTTCTCAGCACATCAGAACTTTTATTCAGCTTTCAGTTAAATAAATGAAATGATTTGGGGAATGAATAGTATCTAAGTATTTATGACATAATTGTCTTCCTTACCAACAGGATTGAGTGCCACCATCGGTCTAGAGGCTTCACTGGCTTTGCTTAATCCTGCGAGGTTCATGGCATACACCCTGAACTGATACTCCAAGCCCTCAATCAGGTTGGACACCTTGTAATGGCACTCCAAACAGGGCAGTTTGTTCTCCCTCACCCACAGGATCGTGTTCCTCTCTTTTTTCTCAATCCAGTAGCCCGTCACCTTGCTACCACCATCAGCATATGGGACGTCCCACTTGATGCCTATGGCATTGGCTGACACAGATACCACATCTGGACGAGATGGAGAACTTGGAGGAACTGTGGAAGTTAAGAAGAGGTGGACATGTGAGTCATGTTCACACACAATAAACCAGGACTTGTGTTAGATTTGACTTCTGGATAGAACTTACTAAATGGATGCTCAATCACAACAGCAGAAGACTCGATGGATTTGCTGACTCCAAACTTGTTCTCAGCACACACTCTGAAGGTGTACTCCATGTATTTAGTGAGGTGAGTCACCTTGATTGTGGTTCGCTGCACACTGGAGTTAACCACCTGCCAGGAAGCTGAGCCAGACTCACGCTTTTCAACAATGTAGTTTGTGATTTCAGTTCCACCATCATCCGCTGGCTCAGACCAGGACAGAGTGCAGGACTCTGAGGAAATTCCAGAAACCTCCAAGGGGCCTGTGGGTGGACTCGGTCTACCAACAATGACCACAGTCACTGCAAAGGTTTTCACTCCAGCAGCATTCTCCAGGATCAGGTAATACTTGCCACTGTCGCTTCTCTTGCTATCTCTGACAATCAGAGTGGTTTTCTCCTTCGAGGTCCGGATCAAGACTCTGTCACTCTCCTTCAGTTTCATCTCCTCAAGCTTCCATGTGACCTTGGGTGCAGGTCTGCCACTTATGGGGATGTCAATTGTAAAGGTGTTAGAGATTTTGCAGGTGATGAGTTGGTTGGTGATGCTGCTGAGGTCAGCAGTCGGCTCAATACGAGGCTCCTTAATTACCACTGAGCTCAAAGTGCCCTGAGGTTCACTGATTCCAGCATCATTCTTTGCCTTGACCCTGAAGTCATACTCCGTATTCTCAATCAGACCCTCTACCAGAATCTTCTGCAGTTTTGCCTCTCCATAAACAATCCAGCGGTCACTGTCCTTAGCTTTGAATTCAACAATGTAGCCTCTGATCCGGCTGCCTCCATCATGGTCGGGTTTCAACCACACCAGGGAGGCCGTGGAGCTAGTAGTGTCCACAACGTCTAATCTTTTGGGTGGTGCAGGTTCTTCTGTGGCAGTGATGGGCTCTGTCATTTCACGAGGTTCTCCCTGGCCATACTGGTTAACAGCGGTCACTCTGAACAAGTACGGCACACCAATATCCAGTCCTGCTACCCTCAACGTCTGACGGGAGCTCTTGCTACTGACCTCCTGCCAGGCAAGGCGGCTTGCCTCACGCTTGTCAACRATGTAGTGATGGATTCGAGATCCACCATCATTAGATGGAGCCTCCCACATCATTGTCAAGGCCCCACGAGTAACATCTTTGAAAGTGATTGCTCCTGGAGGTCCAGGAGTGTCCAGGACTTTAATGGTGAGTGTCATGGACTTACGCCCACTGTTGTTCTCCAGGGACAGGGTGTATTTACCTGCCTCATACCTGGTACAACCTTCTATAGTCAGAGTGGAGAAGGTATCTGTGGTGTTGATATCAGCCATGACTGGAAGCTCACCATCTACTTTAGACCAGGTGGCAAGGGGAGAAGGTTTTCCCCGGAAAGCAACATGAAGAGAGACGGTGCCTCCGTTCTTCACAGTATAGGTTTGTTTGAATTTGGCATCAATGTCAAACTCTGGAGATGTAAGTCTGTCCACAGCCTGAACAGGRTGTGGCATAACTGAAGCTTCACCCTCTCCAGATCCATTCACAGCACTGACCCTAAACTTGTAGAGCTCTCCAGGTATCATACCCTTGGCAGTGAACCTATTGTGGATACAAATATGACTGTTGACTCTGAGCCACTCTTCCAAACTGGCCTTGCACATGTCGATGTTGTAGCCAATAATTTCCATGCCACCATCAAACACAGGCTTGGTCCATTCTAGGGTGACAGAAGACTTTGTGGAGTCAATGACCTGTTGAAGAGAAATAAATGTTGGTTACAAAAATAGATAAGTGTGTTTTTATTATTCTTATCTTGGTATATTTTTGTTTAGGACATTAAAGGAACTAAATATTCGTAGTGTTGTACAGAAACAGTCTAGGATAACTATTCTCTGACCTTGATCACAGTGGGGGCACTGGGAGCACTGGTTGGCTCTCTGCATTTGAAAAGCCTTGAGGTGCTGCTGGCTGGCCCGACACCAGCGCCATTTTCAGCCATGACGCGGAACTCGTACTCGTTGCCCTCTGTGAGGTGTGTGACACGGTGCCTCAGCTCTGCTATGGGTCTCTTGGAGGAGACCCTCACCCAGCGAAGACTCTTCTTCTCTCTTCTCTCTAGAATGTAATGTTTGATCTCATTGCCTCCATCTGACCTCGGCCTGGTCCAGCATAGGGTGATACTGTCACCTGTCACATGAGTGGCATCAGGAGTACCAGGAGCATCAGGCACAGCTGAGGGGCAAAGCAGAAAAACATGTCAGTTGCAAAAGATGTTTTGGGTTCTGTTCAGTAAGAAAGTTAGGTTCAAAGGAACTAAAATCTAAAGTTTTGGCAAAATTTTCTGGAGGTAATTTACTTACTGTACTGCATCTTGGCAATGACTGCATCAGAGTCTAGTGGTTTGCCTACACCAAACTTGTTGACAGCAGAGATTCTGAATTGGTACTCATTGCCCTTGATGAGGTTGGTGGCATTGTATGAACAAGCTTCACACTTGGACGTGACTAGGGCCCATGAGATCCTGGAGGTCTCCCTCTTCTCCACCACATAATGAGTGATGGCAGCACAGCCATCATTTTCTGGTGGGTTCCACCATACAGTGCATTTGTCAGCCGTTATTCCGGTGAAGCGGATCGGACCTTCAATAGGTCCAGGAGTATCTGTTCAGACAGAGGTTTCAGAGGTCATGTGGACGGACCACAATTACAGGTTTGGAACTGAAACATAAACTTAAGTGTCTGTTTACTCACCTTGCACTCTGACATTAGCATCTGCTTTCCTGGTGCCGGAGCTGTTCTTGGCCTCCACTGTGTAGATTCCACGATGGTTYCTGTCAGCATCACGGATAAACAGGCTGCTGGTGCCAATGCCAGTGGAGATCTCAATGTCAAGCATTGTCCTCTTATCAATTTCTTTGCCATCCTTGTACCACACAACCTGGGGAAGAGGGCGTCCAGTGATGGTGCAACTAAGCCGAACATTTTCTCCAGCTCTCAGGGTGAGCACCTGGTCTAGAGACCAYTCAATTCCTGGAGCAACTGATAGCAAAAAATAAAAAAAGAAAAACTTAATAATCAACAACAACAAAATCAGGAATTGAATTACATTTTTAAATGTGTTGTTAAATTCTTTCTTTTAAGGAAAACAAGCTTACTGCTCTCATCCTTGGTCATGATGTATCCAGAGGAGTTGGATGGTGGACTGATGGTGCCAACAGCATTCCTGGCAATCACCCTGAACTCAAATCTGTCTCCAGGTGATAGACCGGTCACAGTGAACTGGGTCTCACTGATATCAGTAAAGTTGCATCTTAGCCATTTGGCTCTGCCTTGACGCCTTTCCACACYGTAAGCCACAATTCTGCTGCCACCGTCTCTCTTGGGAATGTCCCATTGCAGGGAGACGGAGTCTCTTGTTACATCGATACAGACAGGAGTACCAGGTGGATCTAATTCATGAGAAAAAATAATTCATAGCGCTAGGATGTGATGTAATTAATACCACCTCACGTCTGAAATACTGACATTTATCCCTTGATTCCAGGCAAAACATGTCTGTTTTACTTATTGAAATTCTATCTCATACATACTGTACCTCATTATCAGAGCAGAACAGGGCTTAAATAAGTCAAGCTATCTCAGAATAAGTACATAATTACATAATTATTTCTAAATAAAATAAAACTTACCAACAGGAGAAATGGCCCGAGCATGTTTGCTCTGTTCACTGACAGGGCTGACTCCAGCGTTGTTCTCAGCATAGACTCTGAAGGAGTACTCCAGACCCTCCATGAGACCAATGATCCTGTACTCTTTGTTGGAAATGATTGTGGAATTCACCTTCTGCCACAAGAGGCTGTTCCTATCCTTCTTCTCAACATGATAACCCAAAATGGGGGAACCTCCATCAAAGCCTGGGGCATCCCACTTGATGGTCATACCATCGCTGGTGACATTGTAGGCTACTGGTTTTCCTGGTGGGCCTGGAGGTTTATACTGGTGTTGGGCAATAATGTCTGATGAGTTGAGTGGCTCACTAACTCCATATTTGTTCTCTGCACGAACTCTGAACTGGTACTGAGTTCCCTTGACCAGGTTGGGGATCTTGAAGGAGGTCCTGACAACACTGGAACAGACCATTTTCCAGTTGGCCTGGGAGGTTTCACGTTTCTCCACACTGTAGCAGGTAATCTCACCACCTCCATCTTCCTTTGGCTCATCCCAGGAGATGATGATACTCTGAGCTTTGATCTCATCAAAGCGAATAGGACCAACAGGCACTGAAGGGGGTCCCAGAGTGATCACATTGATATCAAAGTAGTTTTTGACCATTCTGTTGTCTAAAACCAAGGTGTACTGGCCAGCATTTTCTTTCTTGGCTCCTCTGATTGTGACTGCAGTCTTGTTGTCAGTGGTCCTGAAGCGAACCTTTTCACTTTCTTTCAGTGGGAAGTTGTCCTTCATCCAGCTGATTGCAGGTCTTGGTTTACCTTTGAAGGGTAGCTCAATGTGGATGTTCTGTCCAATACGCACAGCAAGCTCTCCATTTGGATAATCACTGAGGATTGCTTCAGGTGGAACAATGAAGTCCATCACTGTGATTGGACCAACCTGGGAAAAGTCACTTCTGCCTTTCTCATTCTTGGCAAACACTCTGAAATCCAGGATGGTATTCTCCTTGAGTCCTTTCACCTCACATGTGCAGCGCTTGCATGTGGCACCTAAACTCCAGTTGACTTCTTCCAGACTTCTCTTTTCAACTATGTACTCAGTGATGTGACTGCCTCCATCGTGGTCAGGTCGAGTCCACTGCAGGGTAACGGAGTTCTTTGTAGAATCCACCATTGCCAGGTCTTTGACAGCTCCTGGAGTTTCTGTTGCTCTAACAGGCTCAGTGGTCTCACAGGGGTCACCCACACCAAACTCATTTTCAGCTGACACCTGAAAGAAGTAAGCTACATCCTCCTCCAAGCCTGAAACCTTGTACGATGTGTTGAGACACTCTGCAGTGATCACCTGGAAAGCCTTCATRGTGGAAGCCTTTTTCTCAACAATGTAATTAGTGACAGGAGATCCTCCATCAATRAGAGGAGCCTCCCAGCTGAGGGTCAGATTTCCTCTGGTCACATTCTTAACTATAAGTTTCTGGCAAGAGGACGGACTGTCCAGTACCTTTAGGGAAATTGTAATTATCTTGGGTTCTCCTACACCATTCTCTATCTCCAACACATACTTTCCACAGTCATCGCGTGTGACTTTTGGGATGAGGAGTGAGGTGGATCTCTCAGTGCTGGTGATGGTGTAGCGGTTGTCACCAGCCATGTTGCGATCACCACGGCGCCAGGTGACATTTGGAGTGGGGCGTCCCTTCACAGGGATAAACACTTTGACATCGCGACCAGCCCGAGCTGTGTACTGAGTTGTCATGGATACATCCAAGTCCAAATCAGCCTCCTCTGTTGGACAAAACATAAAACACGAAAACAAATTAATGTTAAACTAATTGGAAATTAACTTAAAATGATAAGACACCAGGAAAATGAAATTACTTGGCACAACATCAATACTTTAAAGGTAACAAATGCTGAGAATTGYGTTTTATTTCTAAAAAATAGATTTCAATTTTTTAAATCTTCTTTCGGCTGTTACGTCTTCAGGGGTCACAACAGGAAGTTGTCAGCTTATATTTCAATACAACTTCTTCCATGTGCTCTCTAACTGCGTCCATGTACTGTATTTCTTTTATGGATAGCTTTCTTTTTTATGGTAATAAAATAAAGTTCATACCTAAAATGTCTTTGGATTGCACAGGCTGATACATCTTGATGTCCTCTCCTTTACCCTTGCAGTTCACAGCAGAGACCCTGAAGTAGTAGTAAGTTCCAGGTTTGAGGGGAGACACCACATACTCGCACGCCTTGACCTGTGGGTTTATGGTGACCCATTCTTTGTCCTCTGCATTCATCTGTTCCAGTATGTAGTGAGTGATTTCACTGCCACCATTATAGACTGGCTTCTCCCAGCCTAGAGTGATGGAGGTCTTTGTTGAGTCAACTACGCGCAACTTGGAGGGTTCACCAGGAAGATCTGGAGGAAACAACAAAAGTATTAATAACCTCTGTGGCTGCATGTGAACATCATAACAGGTAAATAGGCTGACAATGAGATGCTAAGATAACATTTCTGATATACCAATGGGATCGTAGGCCTTGTAAAGGTCAGAGGCCTCAGAGTAGTTTCCTGCACCAGCCTTGTTGACAGCACAAACCCTGAATTGGTACTCGTTGTTCTCTGTCAAGTTGCTGACCTTCTGCCTGGTGTCTCTGATGGTGCCCTTCACCACCTGAACAAAGACAGTGGGCATTGTGATGCATGCACACATGCATCATTAATTTGGCTAAAAAGAAAGTTTATTTTTTTCAAACAAACCTTAAACCATTGCAGACTCTTCTTCTCCCTCTTCTCAAGGTAATAACCATCAACATCGCTGCCTCCATCCAGTGCCGGTCTTTCCCAAGTCACTGTCATTGTGGACTTGGTGATCATGGTAACCTTGGGCTTAGATGGCTCACTGGGGGGAACTACAGAAAATACAAAAAATAAAGATACTGATTAAGATAAAAGGATTCACTTTCTTCTATTGCMTTAAACAAGAATGACTGAAATCTGTTGGGTACCGAATGGGTTCTTGGCAATAATGGGCTGAGAYTCTAGGGGGTCTCCGATGCCATACTTGTTGACTCCACGGACCCTGAAGATGTACTCGTTACCCTGGATAAGTCTGGGCACGTTTACGATGCAGTCTACGAGTTTTTCAGACACAATGGACCACATGACTCTGCTGGTCTCCCTCTTCTCTACGATGTAATGAGTTACCATGGCACCCCCCTCATCAGCAGGAGGAGACCACATGATGGTGATGTTGTCAGCTGTCACTTTCTTAAACTGTATATCTCCAGCAGGGGGCCCTGGCTTGTCTAATGAAGGAAGCAAAATATTTATGCACATTAAATATACATTTATAGCAGGGTCAAATGGCAGTCTTAATCTTTTAGAAAATATCTCATACCTTGAATAAGCAGCCTGACAATACCACATGCAGATCCTAGAGAGTTCTTCACTTTGACCTCATAGGTTCCAGAGTTCAGGCGAGTGGTCTCCTTCATGAATATACAGGTGGACTCAAAAGTGTGTTTGAAAGAAAGGTGAGCAGTGGGCTTCAGCTCTCTGCCATCTTTAAACCACTCAATAGTTGGGGCAGGTTTGGCTGTGATATTAAATTTGAGTTCCACGTCAGAGCCAGCACTGTGTTTGACCTCGTTCAGGTACTCCTGAGGAATTTCAACCTCTGGTGCACCTAAGAGATAAACAGGCAGGTTTGTTTATTATTTTTGATTGAAATATGAATGTTAAGAAGTATACAGAGAAGAGGCATCAACTCAGAGTGAAAAAGACCAAAATATAGTACAGAATGATGACCAATCAAAATCATGAGCTAAATTTTCAACGGTGCTAAGACTGAAAGCAGTTGCCTACCATAGGTGTCCACACAGGTGGTTGGTCCAGCTGTCATAGATGGATTGCTGACTGAGCCAACAGCATTCTTGGCCATGACTCTGAACTCGTATGTCTCGTTCTGGGTAAGGCCAGTCACAATGAAGCGCGTGTCAGATACATTAGTCAGGTTAGCTTTGGACCACTTGGCACTGASTCCTTCCCTCTTCTCGATGATGTAACCAGTGATGGGGGATCCACCATCATAGTTGGGCTTCTCCCAGGCCAGGCTGATAGTGTTTTTGGTGATGTCACTGATGCGCAGGTTGATGGGTGGCTCTACAGAACAAAACAAATATGAAACAATGAGTTGTTCCTAAAACAAAATCTAATTTTCTGCATTTAACAGAAAGCTAGATTTTGCACTCACCACAAGCATCTATGGCCAGCACTGCATCTGAAACTTTGCTGAAATCACTGATTCCAGCAGCATTCTCTGCTGCCACCTTAAACTCATAAATGAGTCCAGCATTGATGTTAATGACCTTGTAGTGTGTAGCACGGATCACATTTCGGTTGACTCTCTGCCAGAGGATACTGTTCTTGTCTTTCATCTGRAGATGGTAGCCAAACACGTGACTACCTCCATCTGATTTGGGCTCCTTCCAGGCTAATGTGATGGTCTCCCTGGTTACAGCAGTGATTTCAGGAGTTGATGGAGCATCCGGAGTAGCTGGAGGAAAACAATCAGATTTTTTATAGTCAAAACTGGTTATGAAAACATGAGGTTTGAAAAGAGGAGAAAACAAACAGTCCTTACTGTATGGAAGCTTGACAGTAACAGCTGGTGAGTCAATGTGTTCACTGATTCCATATTTGTTTTCAGCCCTGATTCTAAACTGGTAGTCCAACCCAGTGGTCAACTTCATGATCTTCATGGTGCAGCGGGCCACAGCAGAGGAGACATCCAACCAGTTGGCTGTAGTTGTCTCTCTCTTCTGAACGATGTAGTTAGTGATGGGGCTGCCACCGTCGTATGCTGGTGGAAGCCATGTCAGACTTACGCTGTCCTCTGTGACATCAAACAACTCTACAGGTCCAAGTGGGACACTTGGGYGATCCAAGACCACAATTTTGATATGGGATTTGGTGGTTCCACTGGAGTTGGAAGCAGTGATGTCATAGCATCCCGAGTCTCCAGCAATGCTCTCACGCAAAGTGATTTTGATGCTGTCAGGAGTAACTTCAGAGTTGAACCTCATTGTTGACCTGAGCGGCACATTATCCTTGGACAGAGAGACTTTAGGCAAGGGTCGGCCCGTCAGCGGGATCTCACACTTAAGTGTGGAGCCGGCTCTGACATACACCGTGTTGTGGGGGAAGTCCTTCATGTTCACCTCAGGAGGTTCTAGAGCAAAATGTGTAAAAGAGAAATAGTTGGACGGTTTAACTTTGACTTGTTTGATCTAATTATATAGGCTTGAGCTCAACATATAATCACATTTCTTCCTAGTCTTCATTAATCAAAACAGTCAATTTGAGTATTTTAATGTTTTTTGACTTACCAAGCTGGTCTTTGACCATAACAGGGATGACCATTTCCTTAGGATCACTGAATCCAGCAAGATTCTCAGCTCTGACTCTGAAGAAGTACTCTGCTTTTTCCCTCAGGCCAGACACAGTGAAGTGAGTGGATTTGATGACACCACACTTGACCCACTTTTCCTGACCTTTCTCCAGTGCTTCAACCAGGTAGCCAGTAACTCTGCTTCCTCCATCTTGTTCTGGTTTAGCCCAAGCCAAAGACACACTCTCCTTGGTGACATCAGTTACTCCCAGCTTTGGTGGGGGGCTTGGTTTTTCTGGAGAAAGAAGCCATTATGTGTTTTATTGTAAAAACCTATGCAATTATAATTTGCATTACAATATGCAACTAAAAATTTTCAGACTAAAAATTTTGATACCTGTTATCTTGGTTCCCTCTTTGGTCTCAGCAGGAATACCAACACCGTAGTCATTCGCGCCAGTCACTCTGAAATAGTAAACTTCTCCCTCTTTCAGGTTTGTCACTTTATATGTCAGTCTGTGGCATGTGTCAGTCAACCTAGTCCAACCTTTTTTGCTGGCTTCACGATAATCAATAAGGTAGTTCTTGACTGGTCCTCCTCCCTCATTCTCAGGCATGTCCCAAGTTACAGTGGCAGAGGTCTTGGTCACGTCCTTGACCTCTACATGAGCAGGAGGTCCAGGTGAGTCGAGGACTCTAACACTGAGTGTCAATGAGGAGGTCCCGGCAACATTGGATAAGGTGACGGTGTACTTTCCAGAGTCGTTGCGAGTTGCTTTTTCTAAGGTGATTGATGTGAATGTGTCTGTGGTGTCAATGACAGCACGCACTCTGAGATCGATGTCTGGTTTAGTCCATGAAACAGTAGGAATGGGTTTTCCTCTGAAAGGTACTGTCATTGTAAATGAGCTTCCATCTTTCACAATAAGAGTTTTTCTCATCTCATTGCTGATCTCAAAGGCTGGTTCTTCCTCTCTTTCTTTGGCAATTTGTTTGTCAGACTCAGGACTAGGCTCACTGACTCCTATTTTGTTGAYTGACTTGACAACAAACACATATTCAACCCCAGGGGTTAGTCCCACCACAGTAAACTCTGTGTTTTTGGTGTTATGGACTCCAATAATCCATTCATCATCTGATGTCTGTCTGTATTCTACTCTGTAACCAGTCACAGGTGCTCCACCATCAAATAGTGGCTTACTCCAAGTCAGTGTCGCTGTAGTCTTCGTAGAGTCAATAATTTTAGGTTTAGGAGGAGGTGAAGGCAGGAACTGTGGGTCTTCAGCCTTAGTAAGTGGACAAGGGATGCTGGGAGCACTGAGGCCAGCAGAATTCTCTGCAAACACTCTGTATTCATATTCACAGCCATCACGGAGGTTGGAGGCTTTGACTCTGAGGTCATACACAGGTTTTTTGTTGACACGGCACCAACGGAGGCCAGTCTTCTCCCGCTTCTCAATTACATAGCCAGAGATACTACTGCCACCATCAGAAACTGGTCTTTCCCAGCAGATTGTCATTGCCTCACTAGTAATTGATGTGACCTCGACATTGGTGGGGGCTGCAGGCACAGTGAATGGATCCATTGCCTTTGTTGCCTCACTTTCCAGTGCTTCTCCATCTCCATATTTGTTTACTCCCCTGACTCTGAAGATATACTCATTTCCTTTGAGCAGCTTAGTAACTTTGCAAGTAGTTGCCTTCATATCACCATAGACCAGGGTCCAGGCAAGGCGACTTGTCTCCCGTTTCTCCACAATGTAATGCATGATTTCAGCACCACCATTCTCTTGAGGAGGTCCCCATGTTAGAGTGCATTTCTCTGCTGTAATGCCAGAAACTGCCAGAGGTCCTGAGGCGGGTCCAGGCCTGTCTAGAACCTTACAGTTGACAGCCACAGACCTTGTACCAGCTACATTGTGMAGAGTCAGGACATACTGGCCAGAGTCCTTTCTTATAGCATCTCTGACAATGAGGGTGGTTGTAAARTTGGTGGAGGTGATTTCACACCTGGCCTTGGCCTCAATCTCCTTTCCRTCCTTAGACCAGGAAAGCACAGGAAGTGGACGTCCTGTGATTTCAGCATCTATCTTAATTATCTCCCCAGCTTTAATGACAACCAACTGTCTAAATTTATCCTCCATGATAATGGTTGGGGGGTCTACATCATCTTTCACAGTAACGGGACCTGTGCTCTCTGAAGGAGCACTCAGCATCTCTGCTGAGTTCTTTGCAATAACATGGAAGTCATACTGGACATCTTCTGTGAGACCTGTAACATCAAAGTAGGTGTCCTGCACATTGGTGAAGTTGCATTTCAGCCAGCGACCTTTGGGAAGTTCTTTGCGCTCTACAATATATCCAGTAATTTTCACTCCACCATCATATTCAGGTGCATTCCAGAAGAGGGARACTGAGTTTCTGGTGATGTTTGTGACTGTTAGGTTATGTGGAGATTCACAAGGATCCCTAGCTGCAACAGGATCACTGGATTTACTGCATGGACCAATGCCAGCTATATTTTCAGCATAGACTCTAAACTGATACAACAGCCCTTCCTCAATGCCGGTCATCTTGAACTGGTTTTCAGCCAGCAATCCTCTGTTGACTTTGGTCCACAAAATGCTGCTTTGTTCTTTGCATTCAATGTGATAACCAATAACAGGGCTTCCACCATCACTGGAAGGTCTGCCCCATAATACCAACATACCAGTCTTGGTGGCATGGGCAACATGAAGGTTGGTTGGTGGGCCAGGAGGTTCAAATGGATACTGGGCAATAACTGGAGCAGAGTCTGTAGCAGAACTCTTGCCATAACGATTCTCAGCTGCAATGCGGAACTGGTATTCTGTGCCCTGGTTGAGTCGTGAAACCTTTATTGATGTCCTTGCAACTGTGGCTGAGACAATTTGCCATGTGGTAGAGGTAGTGTCTCTTTTCTCCACAACATAGTTGTTAATCTGGCATCCACCATCATAAGTTGGAGGATCCCAGGACAGAGAGACAAAGTCAGCGCTGACCTCATCTACCCTAATGCTGCTGGGTGGCCCAGGTTTGTCCAGGATGATAACTGAGATTTCAGCTGTCTTGGTGCCAACTGAATTAGTCAGTGTAATCTCATATTTTCCAACATCCTCTTTGGTAGAATCCTTGATGACAATCTTAGATGAGGTGTTGGAATTCACAACATTTACCCTGGTTGTCTGCTTTAGCATTTGACCATCCTTTTTCCAGGACACCTCAGGTTGAGGCCGTCCTCTGAAGGGAACATCAATCTTCAAGTCGTCTCCTGCTTTTACACTGTATGTGTTGAACAGCAGGTTGATTATGGGCTCCCCTGTGATGTCTTTTACTACAACGGGGGTAGCCAAAGGTTTGGCATCACTCCTACCCTTATCATTCACAGCAATCACTCTGAAGGAGTATTCCTCACCAGTAGTGAGCCCATCAATGGTAGCTTCCAGTGCTTTGGCTTCACTGCACACTGTCCATTTATCATCTCCTTTGGGCTGCATCTCCACAATATAAGCCGTGATTTTGCTGCCTCCATCATGATCAGGTTTCTCCCATGAAAGAGTGACAGTATGACGGGTCACATCAACTACAACAATCTTACCAGGAGGCAAAGGAACCTGTGATACCTTGACTTGATCTGTGAAAGCAGGTAGACCTACTCCTAGCTCATTCACAGCCAGCACACGGAAAAAGTATCTTCCTCCCTCTTGCAGGTCTGAAACAAGGAAGGAGTTCCTCACACAGTTGGTGCTAACACTAGTGAATGCCATTCTTTTTTGCTCTCTCTTCTCCACAATATAATGAGATATCTTAGCCCCACCATCAATAAGAGGCGGCTCCCAGGAAAGAGATACGGAACGTGTTTTTACGTCCTTAACCTGTAGGTTAGTAGGTGCACTGGGGGAGTCCAGAACTCGGACATTGATAAAGGCTGATTTAGAGCCACTAAGGTTTTCAAGGGTCAGTGTGTATTTGCCAGTGTCAAATCTGTCAACGTTTTCAATCACCAGCATTGTGTAAGAGCTTGTGACTTCAATCTGTGCACGTTCATTCAGAGGGCCATCAGCCTTTGACCATTTGACCTCAGGCTCAGGCTTTCCTCTGATCGTCACAAAAAGACGCAGCGTGGCAGTGGCACGAACATTGACCATCTTTCTTAAGTCAGCATCTAGTTCAATTTCAGGAGCCTCGAATTTCTCTGCAGCAATCACAGACACAGGTAGGTCCACRTGATCCCCTACACCTTCACAGTTAACGGCACAGATACGGAAGTTGTACTCTGCATTTTCTTTTAGTGTCTTTACAGTATAGTGAGTTTCTTGGACACCAGTATGTGGTGTGCAGACAAACCATTCATCATCTCCTGCTTCCTTCTTTTCAACGACATATCCAGTAATCTTTGCCCCACCATCATAGATAGGCCTGGACCAGGTAAGAGAGACTGTGGTGCTTGAATGATCTGTAACTTTGGGGTTATTTGGAGGACCTGGTGGGTAAATAGCATCACATGCCTTGACGTACTGTGTTGGTGTGCTAGGCTTTCCAACACCAGCAGCATTTTCAGCTGACACCCTGAATTCATACCAGTGGCCTTCTGTGAGACCAGAGCACCTGAATCTCAGGTCAGTCAGCCTCTTCTTGTTGCACTTGGTCCATCTGACACCATCCTTATCACGTTTTTCAAGTACATATCCTTCAATCTCAGCTCCTCCATTATTCTCAGGCCTCTCCCAGGTAAGCACCATAGAATCCCTAGTAATAGCACTAGCCTCGGGAGTGGAGGGGGCACTGGGAGTGGTGAAGGGATTACGAGCAATTACAGGCTCTGATTCTAAAGGCTCACCAACACCATATTTATTCACAGCAGTGACTCTGAAGATGTACTCATTTCCAGGGAGTAGTTTTGTAACTTTGTAACTGATAGCCTGAATCTTGGGCTCAACCACAGTCCAAGACAAACGACTTGTCTCCCTCTTCTCAATGATATAGTGAGAAATTCCAGCACCACCATCATGAGTAGGGTGGCTCCAATGCAGATAACATTTTTCAGCTGTAACTCCTTTGACTTCTAATGGTCCATCTGGTGGACCAGGTCTATCCAGAACCTTGACATTAACAGGAATCATTTTGATTCCACCCACATTCACAAGTTTGAGGACAAAGTGACCACCATCCACTCTGATACAGTCCTTAACAGTCAGGGTGGTACGGGTAAGTGTGGTCTTTATTTCCATTCTTGGTGTGGTTTTGTCAATTTCTTTTCCATCCTTCAGCCATGTGATCTCAGGCAGAGGTTTTCCAGTGTAGTCAGCATCAATGACAAATGACTCACCAGCATGAACGACTGTCAGATCTTTGAATTTAGAATCCAAAGCAGCATCTGGAGCTTCAATTGCATCTTTGGCTGTAATTTCTCCTGTGCTCCCCGATGGGYGACTTGAAATGCCAGCAGAATTTTTGGCAATGATTCTATATTCATAAACACAGTCTTCTGTGAGACCAGTGATTGTGAACTGAGTATCGATAATGTTGGTAAAGCTGGCCTTCATCCAACGAGTATCTGGGTGTTTTCTCCTTTCAATTACATAGCCAGTGATAGCACTGCCTCCATCGTACTGAGGTCTGGTCCACTGAAGTGTAACGTGGTTTCTGGTGATTTCAATGGCCTCAGGAGTGCCTGGTGGGTCACATGGGTCTCTAGCTACTGTGCTCTCAGAGACCTTGCTAGCTGGGCTAATACCAGCAATGTTCTCAGCATAAACTCTAAATTCATATTCAATACCTTCTTCCAAGTCTGTAGTTTTGAATCGTGTCTCTGGAATCAGAAGTTTGTTGAGTTTTGTCCACAAAAGGCTATTCTTTTCCTTTCTCTCCAGATGATACCCAATAATTGGACTGCCTCCATTGTTGGTGGGGGGTTTCCATTCAACAACCATGCTATCCTTGGTTGCAGCTGTTGTAATTGGTGTTCCTGGGGCAGCAGGCTCACTAAATGGATACTTGGCAACAACAGCAGGAGAGACAATAGCAGAACTCTTTCCATATCTATTCTCAGCTGAAACTCTGAACTGATATTCAACACCAGTTTTCAAATTGGTGACTTTGATGGTTGTCCTGGCAATTGTAGCTGACACAATCTGCCATGCTGTGGTGGTCGTATCTCTCTTCTCTACAATGTAGTTGTTAATCTGACAGCCTCCAGTGTACTCCGGTGGCTCCCAGGAGAGAGTAACATAATTAGAGCTCACCTCATCAATTTTCACAGGCCCTGTGGGCGGTCCTGGCTTGTCAAGAACAATGACAGTAATCTCTTCTGTAGTTGTTCCAATGCTGCTTGTGGCTGTGATTGTGTATTTACCAGAATCATCTTTATTTGCATCCTTAATGACCAGCTTAGTGGACGATGGTGTGCTGGATACATTTAGTCTTGTTGTCTCCTTTAGAGCTTGTCCCTCCTTTTTCCATTCAACCTTGGGAATTGGGCGACCCAATACCGGAATCTCAACTTTTAGATCTTCACCTTGCTGTAAACTGTAAGTAGTGAATTTGATCTTAAATTTAGGCTCAACCGTTATATCTTTAGCAGTAACTGGTGAAGCCAGAGGTCTGGGGTCACTCTTGCCTTTCTCATTGAAAGCTGACACTCTAAACAAGTACTCATGTCCTGCACTGAGGCCTGTGACGGTGCCCTCACAAGTTTTGGTTGTTGTAGCTACAACCCATTCTTCTGAGCCCACAGGCTGCATCTCAATGTTGTAGCCAATGATCCTGCTGCCTCCATCATGGACAGGTTTCTCCCAGGAGAGTGAAGCAGTAGTTTTAGTGACTTCAGTCAGATTAACCTTACCCACAGGCAGAGGTGGCTCAGATGTTTTGACTGATTCTTCTGTCTCAATTGCCTGTCCAACACCAAATTCATTTTCAGCCAAGATTCTGAAATAGTAGATTGTTCCCTCTGTGAGCCCAGTGACACGGTAGCTTGTCTTTGTGCATTTGTTGTCTACATTAGAATACACGTTCCTTGTGGACTCACGCTTTTCAACCAGATAATTCTTTATTCTTGATCCACCATCAATAATAGGAGGTTCCCAGGTCAGTGTGACACTCTCCCTCTTTATGTCTTTCACTGTTAGATTTAAAGGAGCACCTGGAGTGTCCAGAACCTTAACAGAGACAAAAGCTGATTTGCTGCCAGCACTATTTTCTAAGTTGAGGATGTATTTTCCTGCATCATATTTGTCACATATGTCAATGGAAAGCTGTGTGTAATCATCACTCGTCTCAATCTGAACTTTAGTGGGCAGCACACCATCCTCCTTAGCCCAGCTTACTTCAGGAACAGGACGACCCTTGAAAGGAATGCAGATTCTCATTGAGCCTCCTGCACGAACAACTAGTCCCTTCCTGAGCTCAGAGTTCAGGATCACTTCTGGTGGGTCAACTTTATCCATGGGTATCACAACTCCCTGTATTTCTGTGGGTTCACCAACACCTTCCTTATTGATTGCACAAATACGCACTTTGTATTCCTGATGTTCTGTCAAACGTTTGATGGTGAACTTAGTATTGTTTACACCAGTAGGTGGTGTGCATATAGTCCATTCCTCCTCATCAGCCTTGGTAATTTCCACAGCATATCCTTGAATCKCACAACCACCATCATATATAGGCCTATGCCAAGCTAGACTGATGGAGTCTTTTGTAGTGTCAACCACATGGGCATTGGTAGGACAGCCTGGTTCAAAGGTGGGATCACAGGCTTTGAGGTAGGGTGTAGGTGGGCTTGGCTGACCTACTCCAGCTGCATTCTCAGCAGATACCCTGAACTCATAATCATGGCCCTCAGTGAGTCCTGTTACTCTAAAACGCAAGTCAGTCACTCTGCGTTTATTGCATTTGGTCCATCTCACTCCAGCTCTGTCCCTCTTTTCAACAATGTACCCACCAATATCACTTCCTCCTGTGGTTTTAGGGCGGTTCCAACAGACAGTCATGGAATCCCTGGTAATGTTAGTGATCTCAAGTTCATGAGGTGAGCCAGGAGGAACAAATGGATTTCTCATGATAACTGGTTCTGATTCAAGAGGTTCACCCACTCCATATTTGTTGACAGCCAAAACTCTGAATATGTACTCATTGCCTTTCAGTAGTTTCGTAACCTTGAACATTGTAGCTCCACAATCACTGGAGACCACAGTCCATGCCAAGCGACTGGTTTCTCTCTTTTGAATTATATAGTGAGAAATGCTAGCACCTCCATCATGCCTAGGTGGTAGCCATGACAGTGAACATTTCTCCTCAGTAACATTGGTGATTGTAAGTGGTCCCTCTGATGGGCCTGGTCTATCCAGAACTTTCACACTAAATGGGACCGTCTTCGTTCCAGCAACATTGGTCAGAACCAGAGTGTACTGTCCACCATCCACTCTGATGGCATCTTTCACAACAAGTAAAGCTTTAAAATCTAAGTTTTTAATTTCAATTCTTGCAGAGTTTTCAACTTCAACACTTCCCTTAAACCACTGAGCTGTTGGGATTGGTTTTCCTTCCACACTGGCTTCCAGATTGAATGTTTCTCCAGCATTAATAACAATGGTCTGATTGTACATAGGATCAGTTTCACACTTAGGTGGCTCAACTTCATCCTTGGCTGTTATGGATCCTGTTGACTCAGAAGGCTTACTGACAGCACCAGCTGCATTCCTTGCAATCACTCTGAAATCGTATTTACTGTCCTCTGTAAGTCCAGTAACTGTAAATTCTTGTTCAATAACGTTTGCAAAGCTTGCCTTCATCCATTTGCCCTCTGGAAGGTCACGCTTCTCTACTACATAGCCAGTTACAAGGCTTCCACCATCATATTGTGGAGGTGACCACCTCAGCTTCACTGAGTGCCTAGTCACAATCACAGCCTCAGGACGGCCAGGTGGATCACATGGGTCACGGGCAACATAAACTTCAGAAAYTTTGCTGCATTTTCCAATACCAACTATGTTTTCAGCATATACTCTGTACTCATACTCAATGCCTTCCTCCAGTGGAGTGGACTTGAATTTGCAGTCTTGGATGAGCATTTTGTTGATCTTGGTCCACAGTATACTATTCTTCTCTTTCCTCTCTAAATGATAGCCCAAAATGGCACTGCCTCCATCAGATGGAGGTTTATGCCACTCAACCACCATATAATCTTTAGTGTAGGAGGACACAAATGGTGTCCCTGGAGGACCAGGTTCCTGGAATGGATACTGTGCCACAACAGGCTGTGAATCAATTGCATAACTCTTTCCATATCTATTCTCAGCAAAGATTCTGAATTGGTATTCAGCGCCTGTCTTCAGATTGGTTACTTTTAATGTGGTTCTGGCCACAGTGGCAGATACAACAACCCAGTTAGTTGTAGTTGTGTCTCGCTTCTCCACTACATAGTTAGAGATTGGACAGCCACCTGTATATGTGGGTGCTTCCCAGCTAAGAGTCATACTCTCAGCACTGATATCTTCAATCTTGACAGGGCCTGTTGGTGGGCCTGGTTTATCCAGAGTGATCACCTCAATAGTGGCATCCTTGGAACCCAGGGAATTGGCAATATTGATGGTGTACATACCGCCATCCTCTCTAGTAGCATCTTTAATGGTTAGAGTTGTCTGATGTGCTGAATCAGTGACATTGACTCTGGTGGTCTGCTTAAGGGCCACTCCATCCTTGGTCCAGGTAATGGTTGGTTTTGGATGACCAGCAATTGGAACCTCTATCTTAAGATCATACCCCACCTGAACACTGTAGGAACTCACTTTGGGTCTAACAGAAGGTTCAATGACAAGATCCTTTGCTACAACTGATTGGACAAGTTGTCTCGGGTCACTTTTACCCTTTTCATTAACAGCAATAACCCTGAACTGATATTCCTCTCCTTTGAGAAGGTTACTTACTACTGTCTCCACACCTTTCACACTAGCACACAAAGACCAGGTCTCACTACCCTTAGGAGCAATTTCAACTTCATAATGACTGATTCTACTGCCACCATCATATTGAGATTTCTCCCAAGTTAGAGTAACGGTGCTGTTAGTGACATCAACAACACTAACCTTACCAGGTGGCTGAGGCTTCTCTGATATTTTAATTGGCTCAATAGTTTTAGCTTGCAGACCCACACCATATTCATTCTCAGCTAGGACTCTGAAGAAGAAGATTCCACCCTCTGGAAGAGACTCAACTTTCCATGACATCTTGTTGCAGGTGGTAATGGTAGTGTACACTTTTCTGGTGCTTTCACGTTTTTCAACAATGTAATGCTTAATCTTTGAGCCACCATCCAAAAGTGGAGGCTCCCATGAAAGCGAGACAGAGTTTCTTGTGATCTCTTTAACTGTTAAGTTAGTGGGTGGACTAGGGGAATCCAGGACTCTAACGCTGATGAAAGCTGATTTAGCTCCACTAGCATTTTCTGCAGTTAAGGTGTATTTGCCACTGTCAAATCTGTCAACATTCTCAATGACAAGTGAAGCATAGCTTCCTGTATTATCAATTAAAGCAGTTTCCTTAATCTCTCCATCAGCCTTGCCCCATTTMACCTCAGGAGTTGGACGACCTCTTAAAGGTACAAACAGCCTTAAAGTGCCTGCTGCTCTGATGTTGATAGTTTTTCTCATGTCAGCATCTAAGTCAAGGTCCGGAGCCTCAAGCTTCTCCTCCAGGAGAATTTTTCCAGGCACATCAGCATGTTCACCAATACCAACTTTGTTGATTGCACAAACTCTGAACTGGTATTCATGCTTCTCCAGGAGCTTTTTCACTGTGAATTTAGTATCTATTATTCCAGTGGGTGGAGTGCACATAAACCACTCATCAGCTGCTACATCACATGCTTCAACAATGTAAGCCTTAATTTCACAGCCGCCATCATAAATGGGCTTGCCCCACRTAAGTGACACGGTGGACCTAGAGGTGTCTACCACCCTAGGGTTGTTTGGTGGGCCTGGTTCGAAAATAGGATCCAGTGCTTTGTAGTACACTGTTGGTGTGCTTGGTGTGCCAACTCCTGCAGCGTTCTCAGCAGAAACTCTGAATTCATAGCTATGATTTTCAATGAGTCCTGTCACTCTAAAGCGTAGCTCGGTTACATTGCGCTTGTTGCATCTAGTCCATCTCACACCATCCTTGTCACGTTTCTCAACAACATAACCTTGGATGGGATTACCACCATCATTAACAGGTCTTTCCCAAGTCACCACCATGGAGTCCTTAGTAATTGTGGAGACTTCTACTTCTGTTGGTGGGCTTGGAGCAACAAATGGGTTTTTAGCTATCATTGGTTCAGATTCCAAAGGTTCACCAACACCATATTTATTGACTGGGATTACTCTGAATATGTACTCATTACCAGGAAGAAGTTTGGTAATTTTCAGATTCAGAGTCTGAACTTTTTGTTCAACTACAGTCCACACAAGTCTGCTGGTTTCTCTCCTCTCAACAATGTAATGGGAAACATCACTACCTCCATCTTGCAAGGGAGGTTTCCATGAAATTGAGCATTTCTCATTGGTGACCCCATAGATAGAGATAGGGCCCTCAGGTGGACCTGGTCTGTCCAAGACCTTGACATTAATGTTAACAGTTTTCTCTCCTCCAACATTCTTTACCAACAAGGTGTACTGACCTCCATCAACACGAATGGCTTCCTTAACAATTATACAAGCTGTAAAGTCTGTATTGTGAATCTCTAAACGAGCTGCTTCTGAAATCTCTTTGCCCTCTTTCAGCCAGTGTACAGTGGGTACAGGTTTACCATAAATTCCTGCTTCAAGTCTAAATGTCTCTCCAGCATTTACAACCACAACCTGGGAGTACTTAGTCTCCAAGTCAACTCTCGGAGGATCAACCTCATCCTTAGCAGTGATGGTTCCAGTAGAATCAGATGGTTGACTGAAAACACCAGCTGCATTTCTGGCAATGACACGGAATTCATAAGTCTGATCTTCAGTGAGTCCCGTGACAACAAATTCAGTGTCAATAACATTGGCAAAACTGGCCTTCATCCAACGGCCACCTCCCTCTTTTTTCTCAACCACATAACCTGTGATCTTGATACCGGCATCATACTCAGGTTTGGTCCATCTCAGTGTCACATGGCTTCTTGTTACAATGACAGCTTCTGGTTTTCCTGGTCTGTCACAAGGATCCCTTGCCACTTGTATTTCACTCACTTTGCTGGCTTTGCTAAGGCCAACAATATTTTCAGAATAGACTCTAAACTCATATTCAATACCCTCCTCTAGACCAACAACCTTGAATCTGGTCTCTGGGATGAGTTGTTTGTTCTGTTTCACCCACAGAATACTGTTTTTCTCTTTAAGTTCTAAATGGTAGCCCAGAATTTTGCTTCCACCATCATTGCTAGGYTTCTCCCATACTACAACCATGCTCTCCTTGGTAACTGACTGAACCACAACAGAACGTGGTGAACTGGGCACCTCAAAAGGATACTGAGCAACAATGTTTTCAGAGAGCAGGAATGAAGACTTGCCATATCTATTTTCTGCAGCAACTCTAAATTGGTACTCTAATCCAGTCTTCAAACGGGCTGCCTTGATAGTCGTTCTGGCCACTGTAGCAGACACAATCTGCCAGTTTGTAGTTGACGTGTCTCTCTTCTCTACAATGTAGTTATTGATTGCACAACCACCTTCATACAGTGGTGGATTCCATGACAAGACCACACTGTCAGCAGTGACTTCATCCAACTTGATTGGGCCAGTTGGAGGACCAGGTTTATCTAAGACAATAACACTGATATCTGCTGTTGCCTCTCCAGCTGTGTTGATAAGTTTTATAGTATATGTGCCTACATCATCTCTGCAAGCCTCCTTAATGACAAGACGAAGATTATTGTCTGTGGCTTCAGCATTAACCCTGATTGTCTCCTTGAGAACAGCACCATCTTTCAGCCAAGTTGCTGTAGCCTTGGGGCAGGCAACATATGGAACATCAATCTTAAGGTCATCTCCTGCCATTGCACTAAATGTACTGAAAATCAACTTGAATGTTGGTGGAATTATCAGATCTTTAGCCACTACAGGCACACTGAGAGGACGTGGATCACTAACACCCTTCTCATTGGTGGCTGAAATACGGAACATGTACTCCTCTCCCTGTGTAAGTCCAGTAACCTGAGCTTCATTGGTTTTTACCACCATGACTTGAGACCATTTCTCACTTCCTTTTCTCTGCATCTCAACATTGTAGCCTGTTATTCTGCTTCCACCATCATGGTCTGGTTTTTCCCAAGTTAGTGTGACACTATTGCCGGTTACTTCACGGAGGGATACTTTGCCTGGTGGTAGAGGCTTCTCTGATGCTTTAATTGGTTCAAGAGTCTCTACTGGAAGACCAATACCAAACTCATTTTCAGCCAGGATTCTAAAGAAGTATAATTTTCCTTCTTCCAGGTCTCCAACCTTCCAACTAGACTTATGGCAACTGGCACAAACAGTTGAGTAGGCTTTCCTGGTTGACTCACGTTTCTCAACAATGTAGCTGCGGATTCTGGAGCCCCCATCTATGAGAGGTGCATCCCAAACCAGGGAAACAGAGTTTCTAGTGACCTCTTTAACAATCAGATTCTGGGGTGCTCCAGGAGTATCTAGTACTCGGACATTAACAAAGGCTGTCTTACTTCCTGATGCATTTTCTACTGTCACCAAGTATTTACCTCCATCAAATCTGTCAACATTATCTATCTGAAGAGTTGTGAATGATGAAGTGATTTCAATGTTGGCTCTGTCTAAAGATTCTCCATGCTCTCTTGACCATTTTACTTCAGGTGCTGGTCTGCCCTTGATGGGGACAAATAATCTAAGTGTACTGCAGGCTCTGATGCAGACTACTTTGCGCAGTTCTGCTCCAAGTTCAATTTCTGGAGGAAGCAGTCTGTCTTCAGCCTTAGGGGTTCCAGGAACAGCAGCAGGCTCTCCTACTCCTTCACTATTAGTGGCACAGATATTGATTTTATACTCCTGGTTTTCCTTCAAATTAGTGATGGTGAAGGAAGTGGCTGTCCATCCCTTCTTAGGAGTATGGATTGTCCACTCATCCTCTTCAGGCAGGCAGGTTTCCACAATGTAACCAGTTATTTCAGAACCACCATCATAAACAGGTTTGTTCCAGGCAACAGTAATAGAAGATTTTGTTGTGTCCAAAAGTCTTGGATTTCCTGGAGGTCCAGGCTGGAAGATGGTGTCTACTGCTTTGTAGTATGGACTGGAAGGACTTGGCTGGCTTAGACCAGCATTATTTTCAGCAAAAACTCTGAATTCATATTCATGTCCTAGTGTAAGACCAGAGACCTTGAATCGCAAGTCAGTTACAGTTCTCTTGTTGCATTTCACCCAGCGTAGGCCAGTCTTATCCCGTCTTTCTATTATGTATGTGTTGATTCTGCTGCCTCCATCATGTTCAGGACGCTCCCAGCAGACAACCATAGAGTCTTTGGTAATTGTGGTGACTTCTGGCTGAGTTGGTGGATCACTAGGACCATATGGGTTTGCACAAATGATTGGTTCAGACTCTAGAGGTTCACCCACACCATACTTGTTAACAGCCATGACCCTGAAAATGTACTCATTGCCCTTAAGAAGCTTGGTGACTTTAAACCTGTTTGCTTGAAGGTCTGTTGCCACATTTGTCCATGCCAGCCTACTGGTCTCACGCCTCTGGATGATGAAGTACTCAATCTTGGCACCACCATCATGTGTTGGATGCAGCCAGTTAAGCACACATTTCTCTGCAGTGACATCTGTAACACTTAGGGAATCTGGTGGTCCAGGTCTGTCGAGAACTTTAACATTGAATGTGAATTTGGCAAAGCCACCAGGATTGCTGGCAGTCAGGGTGAAAGCACCACCATCCCTCCTGAGTGAATCCTTGTTGATTAGTGTTGTATGAAAGTCAGTTGTCTTTATTTCTATTTTGCCTGTATCCTCCAGCTCTTTTCCTTCCTTGGTCCATACTAAAGAAGGTAATGGCCTGCCAGTCACACTGGCTTCCAGCTTAAATGGCTCTCCTGCCATGACCACAACAATGCTACTATATGATATATCCACATCAAGCCTGGGCTCTTGAATGTCATCTCTGCATGTTATTGCCTCAGATGGCTGAGATGGAGCACTGACAGCACCAGCTGAATTTCGAGCAAACACTCGGAATTCATAGATTGCATCTTCAGTCAGACCACTAACTGTATAGATGGTTTCTAGAATGTTGTTGAAGTTTGCTTTGAGCCAGCGCCCATTGGGCATCTCTCTCCTCTCCACTGTGTATCCAGTAATGGAGAATCCACCATCACCTTCTGGTTTGGTCCACGACAGAGTCACTTCATGTCTGGTAACATTCAGTGCCACAGGTCTACCTGGCACTTCGACTGGGTCCAAAGCATACATAGCYTCAGAAGGTTTGCTAGGTTTGCTGAGACCAGCCATGTTTTCTGCAATAACACGATGTTCATATGCAATGCCGTCAACAAGGCCTGTTGATTTGAACATGTTTCCAATGACGAGAGCTTTGTTGATCCTCTGCCACAGAATGCTATTCTTCTCTTTCCTGTCCACGTGATAGCCTAGAATAGGACTGCCTCCATCAGAGCCTGGCTCATTCCAACTAAGATTCATAGAATCCTTGTTAAACGATGTTACCACTGGAATGCCAGGCTGGCTTGGCACATCAAATGGATAGGCAGCCAACACTGGCTCAGAGAGAATGCAAGGTCCAATGCCATACCTGTTTTGAGCCTTGACACGGAACTGATACTGAGTACCAGTAGTGAGTCTGGCTGCTTTGAATGTAGTGCGGATAACGGTTGCCGCCAACTCCACCCATGAAGTGCCAGTAGTCTCCCGCATCTCAACAATGTAGTTGTTGATAGGAACACCTCCATCATTCTCTGGAGCTTCCCAGGAGAGAATGACATAATCACATGAGACCTCATCCAGTTTAATAGGACCGCTGGGAGGACCTGGAATATCATGGACCAGGAGGGTGATTGTCTCTGTCACTGTACCAAGCATGTTCTTTCCTGTCATGGAGTACTGGCCTCCATCAGTCCTTCTGGTCTCATTGATATTGAGGATAGTTGATGTTAATGTTGTTTCAATGTTCATTCTTTGTGTCTCCTTGAACACAAAGTCTCCCTTTTTCCAGGACACCACAGGCCTGGGTTTTCCCAGCACTGGAATCTCTACCTTCACACGATCCCCTGCTTTGACAATCACAGTCTTCTGGTAGACYCCTCTCAGGTCAAACGATGGAGCAAAGGTGTGCTCTTTGATTATTGCAGGTCTGCTTTCACGGGGATCACTTCTGCCTGATGCATTCACAGCCATTATACGGAAAGTGTATTCAGCACCCTCAACCAGATCTGTAACAGTGTAATCTAGAGCCTTGATGGTGGTCATGTGGACCCACTGATCAGTGTCCTTCCTCTGAGCTTCAATGACATATCCAGTAATCAAGCTACCACCATCATGCAGGGGTTTAGTCCACGCAAGACTAGCACTCTCAGAAGTCACATCAGTGACATACAAGTTCTCTGGTGCAGAGGGGGCCTGAGACACCCTGATTGGCTCAGGGGTTTCAGCAGGCTCACCCACACCTAGATCATTTTCAGCAGACACACGGAAGTAGTAATAAGCCCCTTCCTCAAGGTCTTGGAATTTAAAGGAGCACTTTTGCCATGTGGTGCTCAGCACTGTGTAGGCCTTCTTGGTCGCATCTCTTCTTTCAATAATGTAGTTATGAATCTTGGAACCTCCATCAATTATGGGAATTTCCCACTGGAGTGTTATGCTGTTCTTTGTGATCTCCCTTGGTTTGAGGTTTACTGGTGGTCCTGGAGTGTCCAGAACTTTCACATTAACAAAGCCAGTCTTTTTACCAGCGACATTCTCTAGACAGAGCTGATACTTTCCAGCATCATATCTAGTGCAGTCAGGAATAACAAGCAGAGTGTAGGACTCTGTTGTGTCTATGTGTGCACGTGTTTTTAAGTTGGTATTCTCTTTGCTCCAAGTGACTTCAGGAACAGGGCGACCCCTGATGGGAACAAATATACGAATCGAAGCACGGCACCTGACCACCAAAGTTTTCCTGAGTTCAGCATCCAGTTCAAAGTCTGGCAGTGATTCTTGGTCCACCAGTTCAGTAACTTTTTCGACCTCTGCAGGCTCACCTACTCCCTCAGAGTTCACAGCACTAACTCTGAAGTGGTATTTACCTCCTTTTTGGAGTTTACCAATAACATATTCAGTAATTTTCACTGGGTACTGTGTCTCTGTCTCCCAGTCATCATGTCCTTCCTTTTTATACTCAACGATGTATCCTTCCACTTCAAGACCACCATCATAGTGAGGTCGGCCCCAAGCAAAGGTTGCTGTGGTTTTAGTGGTCTCTGCAATTCTGGGATTGGATGGAGGACCAGGTGGATCTAAAACACAAATAAGAGTACATACATTTATAAGAGGATAAAGTTTTAAAAGGTAACTCTTTTAGATTTTTCTATCTTAAAAATTTATTTACTTACAAACAATATCCTTAGTCAACACAGGGCGTGATGGCTCACTTGGCTCTCCAAATCCAGCCTTATTCTCAGCTGTGACTCTAAACTCATACTCTACTCCCTCAGTTAGACCTTGCACCTTAAATCGCAGGTCAGGAACTGTCCTCTTACAGGCTCTCACCCATCTCATTCCTCTCCTTTCTTTTCTCTCTACACTGTAACCTCTAATGTCACTTCCTCCATCCTGTACTGGTCTCTTCCATGAAATGGTGACAGCATTCCTACTGACATTATCAATCTCTGGGGCTGAAGGTGGCCCCGGGGGACCTGGGAAAACAAAAATAGGAAAAAAATAATTTTTGCAGCTCACAAAGTAAAAATRAAATTCTACAAATATGGCAAAGTGGAAAATTGTATTTTCAACATTTTCATACCATTTATTTTGCTTAAAAGAAAGAAAGAAACGAGTATGTAAACTTACGGAAACTGTCTTCCATTTTGACTGGACCAGACTGGCTAGAGTCTCCTGTGCCATACTGGTTTACAGCAGACACTCTGAAGATGTACTCGTTGCCTTTGATCAGTTTGTGTGCTACATGTCTGCAGTCCATGATATTTTCAGCTAGTTTGGTCCACTGCAGGCGGCTAGTTTCTCTCTTCTCTAGAATGTAAGACTTGATTGAGCATCCTCCATCCTCCTCTGGTGGAAGCCAAGTCAGAGTACACTTTTCAGCTGAAATACTACTGACTTCAATGGGACCTGGAGGTCCAGGGATGTCTAGGACTTTCACTTTAATATGTTCTTCTTTAATACCGAAAGGGTTACTAGCGGTGATGGTGTAATCTCCTGTGTTCTTCCTACTTGCATACTTAATAGCCAGAGTGGAAGAGGTAGGGGTGCTGGTGATAGTGACAATGTCAGAGTTCTTGATCTCACGGCCTCCTTTGGACCAGACAGCAGTTGGTGGAGGTTTACCCACAATCTTAGAGGCTGAGATCACAATTGTGTCTCCTGCCCTGACTGATACACCCTCCTTCATTTCTTGGTCAAGAGTTATAGATGGGGCTTCTGTAAAGAGAACAAAGTCATATGAACACTCCTCAGTAATTCACTAATAGTGTTAAAAGTCAGATACTTTTAAAACCTAAAATATCAGTTTTTCAGAACTCATAGTTTCCTACATGTTTTAATTAAATTACTCAGGCTAAATCACCGGCCAGCGTACCGTACTCATCCTTGCAGGTCAAGGACTCAGTGGATTCTGAGGGAATGCTGATAGCACCTGCAGCATTTCTGGCTCTGATTCTGAACTGATACTGAGATCCCTCTGTCAGGTCGGGGACAGTGAAGGCACAGCTCTGGATGTTGACATGATTGGCTTTCATCCAGGCCTTGCCACCAGCCTGTAGCTTCTCCACCATGTAGCCAGTCAGCTTATAGCCACCATCATATTTGGGAGCAGTCCAAATCAAAGTGACTGTGTTCCTGGTCACATTTATCACTTCAGGTTTGCCAGGTGGATCTGACAAAGAGMAGATATTTATTAATACAGGCATATATTGCAATGAAATGGGAGGTTTATTATAGATGAACTCACCAACAGGATCAAGGGCAACCACTGCTTCTGTGACCTTACTTGCCTTTCCAAGGCCAGCCGTATTTATGGCCATCACCCTAAACTCATACTCTAGTCCTTCTATTAGACCTGTGACTCTGCATTCCTTTACTCTGAGAGGAGTCTTACTGGCCCGTTTCCACATCAGGCTGTTCCTCTCCTTAAACTCAATATGATATCCTAAAAGGAAAAAAAAGATGATGATCACAGTTTTCTCATGCTTCCTAYTCACTGAAATCAACCATAGTCATTTACCAGTAATTGGAGAGCCGCCATTGTCAAATGGATCAGCCCATGTCAGAATGGCTGACTCATGGCGGATGCTCACAATCTCAGGTGGAGCAGGCGCCTCAGGTACATCTAGAGGAAAGACAGGTAGAAAGTGGGATGTTGTTATACAGGTGTATAGTTGGATGGTCATCTGGCTTGTGTAACAGCAAAATAAATACTCGTCTAAGCAAAGCAAAGTAATTAACAACAGATAAACAAAATACTTTTAAAATCTGTTATAAGAAACCAGAGAAGTACTCACTGAATGGATGCTGGGCAATGACTGGGTCAGACCTCAGAAACTCTCCAATCCCGTACTTATTCTCTGCACAAACTCTAAAGATGTATTCTATTCCTTCGTGGAGTCTGATCACCCTCATGGTGGTCTTCTGGATGGCTGAAGCCACTGTGGCCCACTTGTTGTCTGTAGTCCTCCTCTTCTCAACAATGTAATTGGACACCTCAGCACCACCATCGTCTGCAGGTGGTGCCCATTCCAGGGTAATGCCATCAGCGGTAATTTCATCAAACTTGATGGGCGCGGTGCAGATGCCGGGCTTTCCGACCACCTTCAGCTGGAACTTGCAATCTTTGGAGCCAGCACTGTTTCTAACATTGATAGTGAAAGTGTCRGCATCTCCTCTCTGACAGTCTCTGATCAACAGGGTGGTGACACCCGGTGAAGCCTCGATGCAGATATGGCCAGTATCGCCAAGCCCCATGTCACCCTTCTTCCAGGTGGCAACAGGGCAGGGCACTCCAATGAGGGGAATGTTGATACGTGTGGTGGTGCCTTCCTTCACCACGCAGCAACCGTCCTGMAGGCTGCTCAAGTTGCAGTCAGGCAGCACTGAAATATACAGRAACCAAGATTGAAACTATATTATATATGCTACTATTCAGGAAAACAAGTGAGTTTATTTCACAGCATGTATGACTGTCTGACTTCTTACCAAACTGGTCCTTGGCGACAACAGTGAGCTCAGTTGGTGGTCCCTCTCCAGACTCGTTGAGAGCCTTGACTTTGAATAGATATGCCTTGCCCTCTGTCAGCTCACTGATGGTGTGGGTCATGTTCTTGCCCTTCATAATCTGGATCCACTTTTCCTCACCTTCGCTCTGCTCCAGTATGTACGAAGTAACATAACTTCCCCCATCACTGATGGGCTTCTTCCATCCCAGAGTGATGGAATTCTTGGTAGTCTTCTGGGCTTTAAAGTCCATCACTGGACCAGGTTGTTCTGAAAAACAAGGTGAGATGAGTTGAGGCAGAGCATGTATTAGAGGGTTTTCCTGCTTGTGTCTAGCTTTGGTTTTCATTTATAAAAATGCTGTAATTTATAAACAAATCAACTGTAGACTTTTAAAAACACATTTCTGATGTGTAGAGAGATATTTTCTGCAACACAAACAATCATTAAAATATAAGTAAACTGGACTTTTTCTCATTTCTTGAAACTAGAGAAGAAATCCAGCTGCCTTTTTATTGAACCAATTAGGATTGTGATGTTCTGGGGACCAGAATCTACATCAGGGTACCTGATGCCCGGACGCTGCCCTGAGTCTCGCAGCCCTCTCCGATGCCATAGGCGTTCTCAGCCAGCACTCTGAAACAGTAGGCTTGTCCTGGCTCCAGGTTAGTGATCCTGAATGAAGGCTTGTGGCACTCCGCTGACACACAGGTCCATGCCTTTCTCTCAGCCAAACGTTTCTCTACAATATAGCTTTTCACAGGGCTGCCGCCATCAATTAGAGGTGCATCCCAAGTGATGCAGGCATGGGTTCTGGAGGTCTCCTTCACAATCAGGTTTAAAGGTGGTCCAGGTGAATCTGAATGAGGTAGAAAAGTATAATTCAGTTATGTTTCATAAGTCAGTTTTCCTTTCAGATACTGTATATGATCCTAAATATACAGTACACCACAGATTTCCTTCAACAAACATTCTTTCTTTATTTACCTTTTTTCAAACAAAAAGATTACATTTAACATTTTATTGCTGCTCTCTGGTGCTTTTGGAGTCGTAGATTGTTTCTAACATTAATGTTATAGAAATAAAACTACAAACCTAACAACTTATCTGACTCTTTTTCTCCCTGTACTTGCTGTGTATTTCATGAGATTAAATACAGATCCTTACCAAGGACCTTCACTATGATGGTGTAGCTCTTGGATCCGCTGCTGTTCTCCAAGGAAAGGACATATTTGCCAGCATCGTATCTGTTTACGTCCTCGACCATCAGTAGGGTGTCCCAGTCCGATGTCTTGATCAGAATGCCCTGCCTTTCCTTCAGGTTGGCGTCCACCTTCGTCCACGTCACTTTAGGTGCGGGTCGTCCTCTCAGTGGGACGTAGAGCCTCATGGTGACACCGGCTCGCAGAACYAGAGCCTTTCTCAGGTCAGCATCCAGTTCAGCTTCAGGGGCAACTGTAGATTGATTAAATAATCAGTTGTTATTTAAAAAAAGTTTGATCTATTCTGAGTTATTCTGGTGCACTGTTTTCTGTCTCTCTGTAAGAAAGTGAGTTCATACAATCTGTAAACTTATGTAGCCTGTCCATTATGTGATTCCCATGCTATGTTCCAGAGTTTACTAGTTAGCTTGGTGAAGAAAGTTAAAAGAAAGAGCAAGTGTATAATCAGGACCCACAATGTAGAAAGTATTTATCTAAAAACAGTGATGCAATGAACATACTCAGGATGTCCTTGGCCATGTGGTTTCCAGGAACCTCACTGGGTTCACTGTAACCGATCTTGTTGAGGGCAGTGACTCTGAACTGGTACTCGATGTTTTCCATCAGCCCAGTTAACACAAACTTAGTGGCCTGGAGTTTCTTTGGGACATTGCAGTTAGTCCAGCCCTCTGAATCAGCTCGCTTGTACTCCACCAGATATCCAATGATCTCACAACCACCATCATATGCTGGTTTGGTCCAGCTGAGACTCACTGAGTTCTTGGTTGAGTCCACTACCTTGGGAAATGCAGGTGGACCAGGAGGATCTGAAGAAATATAGGTAAGTGGTATAAATCAGAAAAGTATCAGGATAAATTAAAATAAGTTTTTGTTTTTATTCAGCAGATACTCACAGACAGGGTCAACAGCCAGAACAGCRTTGGATGGATCACTGGGTTTGCCCAGACCAGCCTTGTTCAAGGCGATGATTCTGAACTCGTATTCAGAGCCCTCGGTCAGCTGAGCGGCCTTGATGGTTCTGTCGATGACTGGTCGGCGGTTGACCTTTGCCCAGGTCAGCTCGGTGGCTTCACGTTTCTCCACCATGTAGCCCAGGATGGGAGCTTTGCCATCATTGGCCGGAGCTTTCCAGCTGACTGTCATGGAGTCTTTGGTAATGTTGGTGATGACGGGAGGCTCACATGGTCCAGGAACATCTGGTGGAAGAGAAAAGATCAGTCTCCCATCATTTCACTGACTCAGCTAACAACACTTACAAGAACTCTTCACATACATTTTAGTTTTCTTACCATATGGATTCTTGACGGTGACAGCATCCGTCATGGTGGGGTCTCCTACACCATACTGGTTCTCAGCACTGACTCTGAACTGGTATTCATGACCTTCGATGAGTTTCTCCACTGAACAGTCAGTGATGTGGCCATGGATGTTGGAGGTCACCAGAGCCCAGTTGGCCCTGCTGGTTTCACGCTTTTCAATAATGTAGTTTGTAATTTCAGATCCTCCATCTGCCAGCGGAGGCTCCCATCGCATCTTGACATGGTCAGCAAACACTTTAGAGATTTTCACAGAGGCTGGTGGTCCAGGTTTGTCTGCARAGGAAAACACAGAGGGTTGTCCTCAAAGTCTGAAGACATAACAGAAATACTTGAATACTTAAAGGAATATAGAATCAAACTTACCGAGTACCTTGACCTTTATGGTAGCATATTTGGAGCCATTGGGGTTTTCAGCAGTGATGGTGTAGTCTCCAGACTCCTTTCTGGTGACGGAGTAGAGCTCCAGCAGATGAACATGTTTCTTCTGAGTTGCCTTCATTCCCTCAGCCAGGACTAGAGGTGCACCGTCTTTCTTCCAGCTCACCTTGGGCAGTGGCTTACCAAACACCTCTGCATCTAAGAAGATGTTCTCTCCAGCCTTTACCACGATAAGGTTTTTCATGTTGATGCCGAGTTCTACACGAGGAGGAACTGCAAGAGAGATAGAGGTAAGACTTGTTAGCAAGATTTGTCACAGATTTAATCCACATACTCCTTTCCTCTGCGCAGTTATACCATTCTCTGCTATGACAGTGATGGGGTCTGACAGCTCAGAAGGAAGGCTGACGTTGATGGCAGTCTTGGCAATAACCCTGAACTGGTACTTCTGACCCTCCTCCAGTCCATGAACCACATAGTTTTCATTCTGGATGTTCATGCAGTTGGCATTGCAGCGAGTCCACTTCTCTTCTGGGACCTTGGCGTATTCCATGTAGTAACCAATCAGCTTGCTGCCACCATCATGTTTGGGACGGCTCCACACCAATGAAACAGAGTTCTTAGCCACGTCCATAGCCTCTGGTTTTCCTGGTGGGTCTGCATGAAGACAGGAAGGGTTGTAGAGACAATGATTTATATTTGATAGTTTAATTGGACCAAAAAAATGCAGTTCCTGGACTTTTTCTTACCAACAGCGGTCCTGGCGGTGATAAAGTCTGTCTGTTTGCATGGTTTTCCCTGTCCTGCTTGGTTGAATGCAGACACCCTGAAGGTGTACTCCAGACCTTCGATCAGGCCCATGCAGGTGTACTGGGTTGCTTTGACCACAGCTTCATTAGCCTTCACCCACAGAAGGCTGTTCCTCTCCTTCTTCTCAATACAGTACCCAGTGATGGGGCTGCCACCATCACTGCTGGGACGCTCCCAGGACAGGATCACAAAGTCCTTGTTGATCTTATTGATCTGCAGGCTTCTGGGCTCACTCGGAGGATCTTTAAGGTAACAAAAGAAAACAAAAACATTACCACATAATGCCTTAGATGTGAAGATAATAACCAGTAATGAATCTTGTCATGGAAAAACTCACCAAATGGATATTTGGCGATCATTTTCTCAGAGTTGATGGGCTCTGAGATGCCAAACCTATTCTCAGCACGGACCCTGAACCAGTACTCTTTTCCAGGAGTAAGTTTGGACATTCTGAAGCTGGTCTTGGTGCAGGAAGTGGACACCGTGACCCAGTCACCCTGGCTGACGTCACACTTCTCTACGATGTAGTTGGTGATGTTGCTGCCGCCATCCTCCTGGGGGGTGTTCCAGAGCAGTGTGCAGGCATCAATGTCTAACTCAGTGATCTCTAATGGAGCTTCTGGAGGTCCAGGCTTGTCTGTGGCACAAAGGACAAATCATTAATGACAGAATGGTACCAATTCACTCATTGTTCATATAAAATGTAATAACTCTGTTCTCAGACAGAGCTGTGACTGACCCATTATGATGACCCTGAGGATCTGGTTGACTTTGCCGGTACTATTCTCAGCAGACAGGCTGTAGTAGCCACTGTCCTTCCTGTTCACGTTCTTAATGATGAGTGTGGTGGTTGTCAGAGTCTTTACGAGTGACAGACGGTCAGAGGTCAGCACATCCTCATTGCCCTGCTTCCACTTGCAGACAGGAGCAGGTTTACCCGCAACAATAGCCTCAATCACCATCTTGGTTCCAGCTCTGGCTGTCACAATGTCAGGCATTATGATTTTTGGAGCCACTGAGAAGAAGATCAAACATTAGGTCAGTGTTAAAGAGAACTGTAGCTTTTAGTTGTGTCTTCAACATTGTGTTAGCGTTTACATAATTTTACAAAGTTGGGATTAGTTTGCTCTACTTACTTAGCTGCTCCTTGACCTCAAACACTCCTTCTACCTCTCGAGCCAAGCTGACTCCCACAGAGTTCCTGGCTGCAACTCTAAACCGGTACTTCTTCCCTTCCTTCAGACCCACCACCACAATGGTCAGGTCTTTGACCACGGAGTAAGGGGTCCACTTGTCCTCCGGTGCACCTTCCTCCTGGTAATCCACCACATAGCCATTGATCTTGGCCCCTCCATCTCTGAGGGGCTTCAGCCAGCCCAGGGTGGCGCTGTTCTTGGTGATCTCCAGCACATCCATCTTCTTTGGTGGATCTGGCTCACCTGGACGAAAAACACAATAATGATTAGTGACAGTTAACAGAACACGTGTATGCATCCACAAGTCAATCATTGTTTCATTCTTTTTGTAAAGTATTGGGAGGATAAAGAGACATGTCTATCTGACCCTTTAAACAGATTATTAATGGGCAAACATAAATCTAAAAGAGTTGTATCAACAAATAAACTTGATGTTTCATCTGTTTATTTAAAACAATTCTGGAACAACTACTCGTACATTAGGTTGTTTTGTCATTAAATATTTTAGACACATGACTTCAGATTAAGGGCTGGGGCTTAGGGGTAACGTTGGGAATAGTGATACAGCCTCGGAATGTAAGGACATGCCTGTGATGATACTCACTAAGAGGGTCCACAGCCAGGTAGGATCTGGGAGAATCCTGAGGAACTCCAGGTCCATATTTGTTGCAGGCTATGACTCTGAAGTAGTACTCAATGCCAGGTGCCAGGTTGGTCACCTTGAAGCTAGTTTTCTTTAAGTCTTCTATGCATTTGGTCCATGTCTTCCTGTCCACTTCCCGTTTCTCCACAATGTAATTGATTATGGGGCTACCTCCGTCATTTTCTGGAGGCAACCATGAGATCTGAGCGGTGGTCTTTGTGACATTGGTTGCATCCAGGCCTCCGACCGGACCAGGAGTGTCTGCACAGAGTTAAAGGAACATTCAGATGACAAAGTGTCCTGACATTCCTATAAGAGCTTCAGTATAAAAAAGTATAAATGTGCTATACAAGTTTTGATTGATTATGTTTCCCACTCTTACCGAGGACTTTGACACGAACAAACACGGCTTTCTCTCCGGCTGAATTGGACAGAGTCAGTGAGTATTTCCCAGAATCCTCTCTTGTGCTCTCAGGGATGACTAGGAAGGACATGGTGTCCACCTGGTCCACGTGTCCTCTGCGCACCACGTTGTCCACACCCATGCGTTTCCAGGTGACCTTGGGGGCCGGCCTTCCTCTGATTACAGCAAACAGCCTGATTGGACAGCCGGCTCTGACAGCCAGGCCTTTCCTCAGACTGGCATCCAACTCAATTTCTGGAGCCTCTGTTGCCATGGAAACAAAACAATCAATAGTTTTTTCAAAGAACTAGAGATTTTTTTAACAATTAAAAATTAGCTAACAATAGCAAACACTATCTAAAATAAAAAATAAAATAAAGATTGATAGATTGCAAAAACATTTGTATGGAAAAACAAAACCCAGGAAACAGTGATGTTAAATCAGAATTCAGTTATTTTAAACAGATTTATTGTTGGATTTAAGCTATTTTTACCCAGAATCTCCCTGGGAGACACAGCTTCCTTCAGGTAGGCGTGGCGGCCCCAGCCCACCTGGTTCTGGGCAGAAACCTTAAACTCGTACTCCTGCTTCTCATCCAGCTGACCAATAGTGAACTCTGTGATCACCAGTGGACCACGAGTATCGATCCTCTTCCAGCCCTCAGAAGGTTTCTCAGGGTCCGCCTCACTCTTCAGCCTCATGTCCAGGCTGTAGTTGATGATGGGAGCGCCACCATCGTACACAGGTTTGGACCAGCTCAGGGTTATTGAGGTCTTGGTGCTGTCTCCCACCTTCAGGCCTGCAGGTGGACCAGGGGGCTCTGAAGGAAAAGACAAAACACAAAAACCTTTTAATGAACAATCCAAACGAAAATGGAAAAGTTTGGAAACTTCTTATTAAACAACTGAACCTTCTTTCTTTGTTTGTGTTTAACTTTAAACTGGTCAGGTTACAGACTGACTGTTTGATTGATAATCCTGTTTTTATCCCCAGAACAAATAAGATGTAAAAAATGAAGTGAGTTTTGACCCGAGCTGTAAAAACCTACCGATAGGATCTTTGGCTGCCACAGGTCTGCAGGGTTTGCTTGGCTCTCCCAAGCCCACCTCGTTTTCAGCTTTCACTCTGAACTGGTACTCGTGGTTGGGGATCAGGTTAGTGACTTTCATGCGTCTCTCAGAAATGGGGCTCTTTGTACACGCCACCCACCGCACTGCCCGCTTCTCTTTCCTCTCCAGGATGTAGCCGGTGATGGACTTCCCTCCATCGTTCTCTGGTGGAGCCCAGACGACAGTCATCTCGTCTTTGCTCACCTGTGTCATAAAAGCAATGATTGTGAGTGACAGGTGACCATGTTTTTACAGCTAAAACTGATTTGATTTTGCTTAGATCACTGACACACAGAAGATGGTTGATGGCCAGCATGAGGGAGTTTATTGAAGTTGCGTGGTTCTCAGACAGTCAAACTTAAAGAACAAGAACCCCAAAATCGAGCTCTCATGTCTTTTAGGCATTCTCCGCATGTCATCAGATCAAACCTTAGCCAAGATTCGTGAGAGCTTTTTACATACACACACAATGGAGACCTTCATCAACTCTCATATCCAACACCCATTTCCCAATAATCTGTAAACCCCTGCACTTCCTCTGTTGTAAACAACTCTGTAATCCAATACACACTAATGAAGGCAAACTCTTGAACTCCGTGTTTTTACCACTGTCCAGTCAACTTTTTGTACTTTCCCAATCTTCCTGGGCCAAATATAGCAAGCTGTTTTTAACAGAAAGAATCTGGCCCAAACTTCTGGACTAACAAACTCAATGAACCTGCCACTTCAATATCAAGCAGAAACCTTGTTTTAAACCAGATACTGTTTGGAGAAGATGCTTTTTACTAACCTTGGTAACCTCAGGAGCCTCAGGAGGTCCGGGCCTGTTAAACTGGGTCTTGACAGTTACAGGTTTGCCCTCTACAGCAGGGCCAGTTCCCATCTTGTTTTCTGCTCTCACCCTGAAGATGTACTCGTTACCCTCCACCAGGCGAGTGACGTTACAGTACGGTGTGACCACAGCGGCTGAGTATGTGGACCACACCATCCTCCTGGTCTCACATTTTTCCACAATGTAGCTGTCCACTTCACAACCTCCGTCATCCTCGGGGCCGTCCCACACCACCCTGCACTTGTCAGCTCCGATGCCAGTGATCCTCAGGTTCCTCACTGGTCCAGGAACATCCAGGACGTTGACATTGGCATATGCCGTGAAGGTGCCGGCTGTGTTAGTAGCAGTGATGACATACTTCCCAGTGTCTGTGCGTTTGGACTTGGTCAAAAGGAACTTGGAATAGTCTGGACCGGTTTCATAGCTCAGTCTCGGGTTGTCTCCCACAGCCTTGTCTTTGGTCCACACAACCTCCGGCTGAGGCTTTCCTCTCAAGGCAGCCTCCATCCTGACAGACTCTCCGGCCATCACTGTCACAGTTCCTGCCACTTTCAGGTCAATGACTGGCTTCTGGATCTCTTCTTTCACCAGGATATCAGGAAGTTTCACCCAGGCACTTTCTCCTCCCTCGTTCACAGTCTGAACTCTGTCAAACAAACCATAAAAATGCATTTAAATGGGCTTTCCATCATAAAGGGTTGTACTGATGAAGTAAATATTAGGACAACTATAAACAGAGTTTTATTCCAAAGATAAATGAACTCTCTTCATAATTAACCACTTCATCAATCATTGACTCAAACATAAATATGTAGGAAAACAAACAGTAAACCTGTATTTACCTGAAGGTATATGTATGGTTCTCCAGACACTTGTCAGCCAAGAAGAAGGTGTCTGTTAGTGTGCCGATGTTGAGTTTCTCCCATTGTTCAGCATCTTTGGCTTTGTACTCCAGGTTGTAGGAGAGGTTAGGACTGCCTCCATCATAGTCAGGCCTCCTCCACCTCAGGTAGACGTAGTTCTTTCCAATGTCAGAGGCTCTGAATTTCTCTGGCTCTCCAGGCTTCTCAATGGGATCTATAGCCAGCAGAGGGGTCTTGATCTCCACAGCGGGACCAGGTCCTAACTTGTTCACAGCACAGACACGGAACAGGTACTCATGGCCTTCCATCAGCTTGGCTTTGATCTTACGGTTGGTGCAGTTTGAGGAGATCATGGACCACATACTGATGCTGGGCTCACGACACTCCACGATGTAGTTGGTGATTTCAGATCCACCGTTGTCATTAGGTGCCTCCCAGTTGATCATACAGGAGGACTTGGTGGCGTAGGTGAGGTGCAGGTTCTGGCAGTGACCCGGTCTGTCCAGGACATTCACTGTGATAGTGCAGGATGCCTCACCGCCCTCATTTGAAGCCTTCAGTGTGTATTTGCCATGGTCATTTCTTGTGGCTTCCTTTATCCTCAGGTGGACCATAGGCAGGTTCTGAACAATGGTCACACGCTTGCTGTTCTCCAGAACTGTGTCCTCCTTTGACCAAACGACCTCAGGATCTGGACGAGCTTTGATGTAGCCATAGACATTAATGTTGTGTCCAACACGAACAGTTACTCGCTCGCGGCAGGTGGCCTCCATTTCTATCTCTGGAGGGATGAGGATATCCTGAGCAGTAATAGAACCTGGGATTTCTCTGGGCTCTCCATCACCAACCATGTTTGAAGCCCGGACTCGGAATCTGTAGGTCACACCCTCTTCCAGGCCTTTGACCCTGAAGGCACACAGCTTGATAAAGTCATCGTCCAGGTTCACCTTCTTCCATTCTTCAGAATCTGCTTTCTGCATCTCCACAGTGTAGCCTAAGATAGGGCTGCCTCCATCTCTGGAAGGTTTCATCCAGACCAGGTCAGCTGTGGTCTTACTGTAGTCTTTAACTTTGGCATTGATTGGAGGACTTGGGACTGTGATGGGTCTGCATGGCTTGCAGGGGTCAGAGGTGGGAGAAGGTCCACTGTAGCCAGCAATATTTTCAGCAAACACTCTGAACTCATATTCACTTCCCTCAAAGAGACCCAGGACTCTGTAACGGAGGTCTCTRCAGGGTATCCTGTTGACGCGGATCCACTTTCCCCCCTTATGCCGACGCTCAACGAGGTAGCCTGTGATCTGACTGCCACCGTCAGCGAGAGGCATCGTCCATCCCACTGTAACGGCATCTTCTGCTAGATCGTAGCACTGAGGCTTACCGGGTGGACTGGGTGGCATGAAGGTGTGCTCAGCAACGGTTGGCTTGCTCTCCAGCGGAGCGCCTGCTCCCATTTTGTTCTCAGCACGAATGCGGACCACATACTCCACCCCCTTCTGCAGTCGGGTGATCCTAAGTTCAGTTATAAGGCTGCCAGAGCTGACTCCTCCCCAGGTCTCCTTGTTGGATTCCCTCTTCTCCACAATGTAGTTGGTGACAGGGCTTCCACCATCGTCCTTAGGAGGGCGCCATTCAATTATCATGGAGTCTGGAGTGACCTCCAGGATGTTGACAGGTCCAATAGGAGCAGCTGGAACATCGAGAACTGTGACATTCAGGGCCACAGTCTTGGTTCCTGCTGGATTGGACACGGTCAGCAGGTAGGTGCCTGTGTGGTTCCTGGTACACTCATTAATATTGAGCACAGTGGAGTAATTATCAGTGTCAATCTTAATTTTGCCCTGGCTYGTGATCTCCTCTCCATCAATGGACCACTTAGCTGTTGGCACAGGGATTCCCCTCATTAAAGCTGGCAGCCTGATGGTAGTGCCAGCCTTCACAATGATGCCTTCAATGAGTTTAACGTCCACCTCCACGATTGGAGGAACTGAGAACAAGACAGAAAACAAAGGTAGATGTATTCTCTGATTTGAGCACAGATATAAGTTTAATCCAGTACTTCTCAGGAACACTTTAGTCTGATTATGTGCACAAAACAAAAAGTACTCAGGTTATTCTACAAGACCAACTGGATCTACACAAACAACACTTCATATAAGTGTGACGAATGTTAGGTCTTACCAAGTTTCTCCTGGCACAGGATGGGCAGGGTGGTGTCTGGTCTGCTGAGGCCAATGGCATTTTCAGCCCTCACTCTGAAACGATAGGTCTTTCCCTCCTCCAGGCCAGTGACATGGCTCTCAGGAATGCTCTCAGTCTTCCATTCTTCCCACTCCTTTGCTCCCTCCTCCTGATACTCCACCAGGAAGCCTGTGATCTCACTTCCTCCATTGCGATCCGGCCAGTTCCAGGCCAACCACACTTCGGTTTTGTCCACGTCAGCATGATGCAGATCTTTGGGAGGACCAGGTGGGACTGGAGGAAGAAAAGTAAACATCTCATAGGAGATCTGACATCATCCGTTTAAGGATTTATCAGTAAAAGAAGTTTTTGTTCCTTACAGAGAGGGTTCATTGCCTTGATGGGTTTTGGCGTCTGAACATATTCACTTCGGCCACATTGATTCTCAGCAGCAACTCGGAAGGAGTAAGACGTTCCCTCCATCAGGTGCTTCAGCGTCATGCTGCGCTTCTTGGACGTGGAGCAGACAGGGACCCACTGAGTGGACGCTGTGTCCTTCTTCTCTACCACAAAGTTAGTGATGCGAGTTCCACCRTTGTCTTCAGGATCCTTCCAGGACAGGTATGCAGAGTCACTTCTGACATCTGACACCCGGAGGTGCTGAATGGGTCCAGGTTTGTCTGAAGAGATCACAAAAAAGACCATCAAACTAGGACTTCCACTGATGCTTCTAGCTTTAAATGGTACAGTACTTACCAAGAACCAGGACAGTGCAGGTAACGGTCTTGGACCCAGCAGGGTTCTCCACTGTAAGGGTGTAATCTCCACAGTCACCACGGTTACAGAACCTCATCTCCAGCTTGGTGCCTGCCTGGTTGGTCTCTATGTCGGCTCTGGTAGGAACTTCTGCATCGTTCTTCTTCCAGGTGACGGTGGGGAATGGGACACCTTTGATGGCAGCCATTAGAGTGATGTGAGTACCGGACATGGCCTTCACCTCTCGGGTCATCGCTGCATCCAGGATGAGATCTGGTGGCTCTGCATTCAGACACGTTAACTCATAAGTTAGATTAATTAGGAAATAAAAATATTGCATTAAAGTACAACTTTGATGATAAATCACCCAGTCTGTCCTGCACTCTGATTGGTTCCTTGACGTTGGCTGGGTCAGACTCTCCTGCAGCATTCACAGCCATGACTCTAAAGCGGTACATAGCTCCATCCTCCAAGCCGATCACCTTAAACTTGGTCTCCTGACAGGAGTCTGGAGTCAGGTTCACCTGATGGACACAAAGTCAGGAGCTCAGAATCCAGGTTTACTCAGAGAGTAAAAATATCAGAAGAAAACTGAAAGTTTTGAGCAGTTTCCTCACTTTGTTCCATTCCTCTTCTCCAGCTTTCTGGAACTCCAGCAGGTATCCAAAGATCTTTCCTCTACCGGTGTCAGTAGGGGGGTCCCAGGACAGGGTCACAGACTCCTTGGTAAAGTCAATGGCCTGAAGGTTGACTGGTGGACCGGGTTTCACTGTGGTGGTTGGGAGAGTTCTTGTGGTGAAGCTAATAACACGAGCTTTGATTAAAACACTTTGAAAAGGTTTACCTACCAATAGGATCCTTGGCAAAAACGGGTTTGGATGGTGGGCTGGGATCTCCAGCTCCCACCTCATTCTCAGCACTGACTCGGAACTCATACTCGCAGCCTTTCAGCAGCTCTGTCACACAGTACTCCACTTTGGGGTGGATTCTCTCAGTGTTGCAACGAACCCACCTGGAAACAGACCAAAATGACCTGCTGCTGTAAACACAGCTCACATGACAAAGGTTTATTTGATTTAGGTTTCATAAATCAGGCACAGGTGGTCTCTACAGGGTCTTGGGGTGGTCTTCAGGGTGGTAATAATGCAGTGAGCTCACATTACACAGTGTAGATTTAGAATCATGATGGTTTTAAGCATGAACAGAAGTTCTGGAGCAGATCCTGGTGGCTTGTTATTGTGAGAAGAGAGCATCGGGAGGACTGTGAGCTTTTCAGGGACAACACAAACTAAGAAACAGCAGTTTGATGAGCACTAAGAGCGTAAAGCATGTGTTGTGTTGTTTTTCTAAAGCAGCTGGTTTMTTTGTGTCTGTGTTGTGTAACTTGTGCTGATCGTGCACCTGTTGGCCTTGGTCTCCTTCCTCTCCACTATGTAGCCTGTGATTGGTTTCCCCCCATCGGCAGGGGGCTCCCAGCTGATCAGGGCTGAGTCCTGGTAAACCTCCTTCACCAGGGGCTGTTTGGGAGCATCAGGAACCTCTGTGAWGGGAACAGACGTGGGGGGTTCAGGCACTGCTTCGGTTCTGTAAACCCTTTCTGACAGACTCAGAGTGAACTTACTGAAGATGTCTCTAGCTTTGGTTTCTGCAGACAGGAGGGGGTCGCTGATACCGTACATGTTCTGAGCCATGATCCGGATGATGTACTCACGGCCCTCGATCAGTTTGGGCACCTGAAGCAACAAACAGGTGGGAGGACATCAGTGCGTCAAGCTTCACCCAGTTTCACTGAGAATTGTTCTCATGTTCTCAAATATCTGTCCAAAAGTTGGAGTTCAGCAACTAATTATATCAAACTAATAAAAACAGTGTTGGATTCAAACAAAACAAAYTGAGGATTTTTGATTTGGGTTCTATATTTTTATTGCCTGTCATCATATGAAGGGTGGGCCATCCTGTATTTCTGTGTGCGTTTGGTRGTCTGTTAGCAAAATATCTCATGAACCGGTAGATGGAGGGCAATCATTGGACATCTACCATCTACCAGTGCATTACTGAGAAGATTAAAACTCATTTTTACCAGCATTGAGCTAAAACAAGTTGAGTATCAGAGTCATTCCTAACACAAACTCTGAGCTCTATGTAAAATGTTTGTATGAGACTTTCATTGTTCTGTGGCCAAATATCKTTGCTTTAAGTCTTTCAGAGTGAGGAGCATTTACAGTATAATCTGGTACAATTGCTTTTCTTTAGATCTTTGAGAACATTATTCAGCTTTGATCATTCAAAGTTTCAACCAAATCTCCTAAACCAAGTAGTTTTGACTTCAGCTGGATCATGTTCTGATTAAACTTCAGTCTGACTCATAAACCTGAGGAGAAAACTAAAGGGGCTCACCCTGCAGCTGGTCCTGGTGCAGGACGAGATGACGGGCATCCACAGGTCTCGGTTGGTGTCCCTCTTCTCCACRATGTAGTTGGAGACGGTGGAGCCTCCRTCGTCCAGAGGAGGGTTCCAGGAGATCACCATGTAGTTCCTGTAGACCTCGTTGAACACAACGGGACCCTGTGGGGGGCCGGGACGGTCTGACCAGAGAAAAGATTCACACAGGTGAGCCTTCATGGTCCTTTCTTTATGTTTGGTCCTAATTGTCAAATATTGTGAAGCTGAAAAGCATTTTTTGTAAGCAAACTACCTCTGCAGTCTTTTCCTACATCTAAATRTTTGTCTGTCAGGAGATAGGTGCTGTAACTTTTATACTTTTTAAATGATYAGAGCTTGGTTTTTGCTYGCAGCTGTTGTCTTTATTCCTGTGTGAGATCCGAGCAGCTGAGGATGGTCTTTCACTCACCAACCATAGTGAGGGTGCAGCTTCCTGTACGGGTACCAGCAGCGTTCTCCACGCTGACCATGTATCGGCCGCTGTGGTCCCTCTTGGTCTTGCCGATGTTCAGGCTGAGGTGGTGGGCGGTGCTGTGAAGGGTGATTTCATCATCTGCTTTAAGCTCCTCCTCGTTTTTCTTCCAAGTGATGACCGGGGCCGGTTTGCCACTGTAGCGTCCCGACAGCAAACATGGGTCTCCCACCCTCACCATCATCTTGTCCCTGAAGTCCAGGTCCAAAGTAGGTGGTTCTGAAGGGAGGCAGCAGCAGTTTGATATCTTTACAAGCTTGTTGGTGGCAAGGTTATCATAATTTTAGATTTTTCATTATAGTTTAGTTTTATTTAGTTGACATTTTTTATTTTAATTCAATTAGTTTTAATTAGTTTTTAAAGTGGCTTTGCTAGTTTT